TAACAAATACAAAAAAAAAAGAATAGTAAAGGAATGAATGATTGAGTGCTGGTGGACCCAAGTTCAAATAAATATGCTTAAAATATTGCTTAAAGGAATTGACAATTTGGAACGTACACCATACTCAATACATACATTCGAAGGAGTCAATAGCTCGGGTGTTATTTTTCAGTGTGCTCGGCAAAACATACGGCATTTGATTGGAAGAACCTGTTTTCTTATGGCAGTTTCTGATCCTGCCCTGACTATACTAACATTGCTTTTGCCATTAGTGAATGTAATCGGACAGTTACAAAAGCTGGTTGTAGCCCAGGCTGTTTTTATGCAATTAAGAAAAAGCCAGCATCTTTCCACTTTGCTCATCTTCGTGCCCTCAAGTAGGAGAAAGTTTATTGCGAATTCTGTGACAGCACATAATTGGTGATTAGCAGTTTAATGATTTATGGATTACTGCAGAGGGTTGAGCTTTTGTACAGCGCACTAAAGATTACTTTGTAAACATGCATATAGTACTTGCTTAAAATTTATGAATTTGACTCTTCTGCTCACTTCATTGATTGGAAGGCCGTACTTGGCCACGATGTCATCTGGCAAGAAGATCGATTGTCCCCTATCCAGGTGATGTCTTTAGCACACGGGGTGCATAAGCCAGGAAGTACAGCTGTCGGTCGGTGTCGGCTGCACAGGGGTGGTTGCAGGAGACTGCTGGCATTGCTGACCGTTTGGCGGAAATGCCACATTTCTTCCACGGTGCCTGGTTGCTCGGCCCCATATCCGAAATCACAGCGTCCACATAACAGCCTGCATCTTCACATTTCCTGATGACCGAGACTACGAGGTCCTTTAGGAATGCACCGTCAATGGAGTCCTCTGGCGAGCAAGATAGTGTTAGATAAGACATTAACACATAGCACTTACTGGAATATCTAATCAAATCAGCATGTGGATTATAAGTATATAAGCATAAGCAAGTATATAAGCATAGAGTAGTCAGGGTTGGAACTGCTGCACCATTTGCGCCATTCTGCGCCAGAAGCATTTGACTGTGCTATTCTGTACCAGTGAGTGCCAACTGCGCCAGAACCACTTACTTGTCCCATTGTGTGCCAAACACTAAACCCTGCTCCAAAGAATGCATTTCTTTTAGCTTCAATTTCTGTCGACTGACAATACGGTTGTCAACAATGAGCTTGTCTGGCTTGGCTGGGTTTGCTATTTTGCTATAGAGTGGCTGTTGCCGTTTTGTCTTTCTGGTTTTTTTGTTGGGTGTCTGTTGTTGCAGTTTCTTAAAGTAGCGTTCGATAGCTGTCGTGTTCCTGCACCATGCGGACTGGCTCTACGCTTCCGAGCTGTAAGTGTGCGGAAAAGTCGTTGGTTGGGCGTCGGGTTCAATACCCACAACCACCTGGCTTGACAGCTATGTCAAGAATCCTATCCGAAAGTTCCTTGCCCAAGCGAGCGGTCCAGTTGTTTGGTGCGCTTCAAATTCGTTTGCTTACACTTCTAGTTCTTGTTACAACAATAGCAATCACTTCAATTATTGTGGTCTGCCATCTACGATATAACCTTGTTTGAAAAATATCATGAACTGGAGCTGCACGCGCGTCGGATACAAGTCATGCGCATCATGCGGCCTGTAAGCAGCAGCCGAGCTTGAGCGGTCAGCCGAGTAACTGCGGTGAGCTCGGTTGTGGCTGAGAGTTACCGACGTATTAAATAATAAAGGCGGCAATAGAAAACCACACTCTTTGGAGCGGCTCCGCGAAGCTCGTTAATTACGGACCGCATTGCCCCGAAGTTGAAGGGGGCGCCGTAAAGTTTTTGTGTGTAATGATTAGGTTTAGCGGAACGTGTTAGCGCTTTTACGGGAGGCCTCGAATTCCGCTCAAAACTTCTCGTTTCTGGGTGAACGTCGGGTACACTTCCGTAGAAGTTGTTTATCTTTGATAGCCTCGAGTATGTTTTTTTTTTTTACCTTAACAGTTACTGTACTAGATTCCTTAGATAAGCTTATCTTTTGGGTGGTGGAACTGCTGCGCCATTTGCGCCGAACTGCGCCAGAATGAATTACCTGCCATTTCCAATTTCCAAAAATTTCCAATTTTTAAATAGTACTTTCATGTAATATGGTATTTGAAATTCGCCTCCAAACGAACTGCGATATTCATACTTTTCGAAGTGTTGATCGCTGCGGGTTGGCCCCCTTGAGTGCGCTTCTCCTCAAGCACCGGTGCACTGCGGAGAGGCAATACACGCGGAACGGACACAGCTACGTGTCTGGTGTATTAAAAAAAAAAAAAAAAAACAGGAAATTTGGTGATTGTTGATTTTACATTGCAGTAAAAATCTTCAAAATTTCACTGTGGCTATTATGCGAGGATACATGTTTGGCAGCGATGTTCTAAAAACCAGTGTTCATTAATTGTGCTTGTTCTTTGTTTTTTTTTTTCTGTTTAATTCAGAATTGCAGAAAATATTTCTAATTTTATGTCAAATCTCGTTTTTACTTGCCATCCAAAGTATGTACTTGACTTTCTGAGGCTGCAGTCTGTAAATATAGTTGGATTAAATTTAACAGAGCTCATGAGTGGGCAATTAAGCTTAGGAACAACCTTCCCAAGTTCAGCTGAACTTTCGTTTGAACACAGTGTAACGGTAGCAAAAGGCGTGGAGAAACCGCAGCACTCTTCAATGTTTTATTCAGAAGTATTCGGCCAGAAACAACTATTCACCTTGAATTTGCTTCAAACCCGAAATTCATTATTTGCACATGCTTTTGAAGAGTTGCCTGTTTTTGTACAAACGGTGCTCACATCGATTGAAATGAATAGTTAGCGCTACTCGTGATCAGTTAAAGTAGGTAGGTGCTTCGCTTAGCCGATCGTGACCGGTAGCAGGTTGAATACGGGCGAGGGCAGTTAACGGTTTCTGTGCGAATGGTGCTCATATCAATTGCAATGAATAGCTAGCGCTACTCGTGATTGGCTAGAGTAGCCTGTGCTCTGTTAGCCGATCTGTGATTGGTAGCAGGCTGAATACGAGCGAGGGCAGTGTGCTGCACAAAAGTGTTTATTTGATGTCGAACTCGCGACAATTACGTCACCGTGTTTCAAACCCTGTACAAAGTATCCAAAACATCTTCTTTGCGTCAAACACAGACCAAAGATTGGTACTGCTAATAGGTATATTGAGACATCTGCCAAGTTATTGATTAATGATTGTTCAATAAATAAATAAATATCTGTAGTGGCCAGGTCGTCTTTAGGTAGAACACTTTACATAGTCTCCCAAAAGTCTGACTGCAGTTTTTTTGTTGTTTTTTTTCACAGCTAACTTGCAGAGAGATTGTTTGAAATTTTTTGACGTGAAAACTCAAAATTGTTTGCTCCAAAAGTCGGAATCTCTGCACCAAAATCCGTTGTTCCCTGCTACAAGAGCTGCTCCAAATCACCACTTGTCAGTTCCACCGCTGATCTTTCGGTGTTTAAAATAAACAATAGAAAATTAAGCCAAAAGTTGGGAGGATTATCTTTCAGGTGTGGGGGCATCTCTCAGATATCATGGTAGTATTTTTGCGACTCGTCTGTTTTTTGGAGTGCCCGATTTCACCAAAAACTTTCTTTTTACGCTTTTGAATGCGTATTTATGAGTTCAATGCTGCAGTCTTTTTTTTTTTTTTTTTTTTTTTTTCAGATGATTTGGCAGTTTGTGCGCCTCTGTTTACTTATTTTCGCCATTATTTTGCATGTACACGTGATTTCAATGCTGCAGTCTTTTTTTCAGATGATTGGGCAATTTGTGCGCCCGTTTATATATATATTTTTTGCTATCATTTTTTATATATATATACACATTGATGTTTCTTGTTTTCCATGTCTTTTCAGATACTATGTTGATTTTCTCACTTTGTACAAGTGTATAAAGAGTGTGCTTATTATTTAATCATTTGAAAAAAGCGTTGAATGCATGTAGCTTTGTCAATGTGCCTCTTGTGCCTAAACCCCTGGAGGTCTTTCGTATCGTTGAGTAAATGAATAGCAAGCACCAGTTTACACTGTCTAAACATCTAATAGACTACTTGCAAAAGAATGGACCCTTTCCAGAATTCAGTCCGGCAACTTTGGTCACTATCATCATCTGAAAAATGGGATATGTGCTGTACTAATGGCGGCCTTCTGTTTCCTGATGAAGGAAGAAGTCGAAGATGCTACTAAGCAGATGATTCGTGGCCTATACATTGTAGACATTAGCGCAACGTGAAGCAGGAATTGGATGCAAGAGCTGCGTAATCGTTCGTTTCCAACTCGGGCCCAGTGACTACATTAGTAGCAGACACTCTTCTTCAAAGCCCTTAATGTATACAACTTTATTAAGGTGTCTGTGTGGGTTGGAGCCTCATTCAGACTGGTTGAAGTTTTTTCGCCGTCGACACTGAGATTGAAAAAGAACTGTACAGTGAAGCACACTTTCTTGTTTATTGTTGACTTGCGAAAGTGACAGTGCCCCGTAAAATACTGCAGACCCCAGGTTCATTGCCGCCATTAGTATGGTAAATGTTAAGCTGCAGTTTGAGTTGCCAGATGGCACTAAATTCAGGAAAGGGTCTATTGTGGCACCTGTGGCACCCAAAGGAATTCTGGGATGCTTGGGCGGTACAGTTGACTCATTATTTTAAACTTCTGGATGATTCAAACTAATGTGCAGGTCCTATCCTATGCACATCTGTGGGAGAAAGCTCCCAGTAATTGAGAATTCTTTGTTCAAACTGATTTTCAGTCCCTTCCAAGTTTGAATTAATGACATTCGACCGTAGATGCTGCAGATGCAGGCATACAACCAAGCGCAACCTTTTGGGCTATTTGCAGCTGGTCTCTAAATGTGTTTTTGTTGGTCTGAGAAAACGCTTTGGCAGAATGTGTTTGGGCATCAGTGTGGACTCTGGGAGCGAATTGTGCCATCTCTGGATGTTTTAATGACTGCATTTCTCTGTGTGGGGTCAGGAGACGGAGGAAATCATAGCGGACGTGCTCAAGGTGGAGGTCTTCCGGCAGACGATAGCGTCCAACGTCTTGGTGGGCAGCTACTGCGCCCTGAGCAATCAGGGCGGTCTGGTGAGTCCTTGAATCAATCGGGTCGAGTTCTTGGCCCTCAGAGGCCCATAGAGTTGTTAGAATGTACGCCAGAGGATCTAAGCGACTTGCGGTTAGCAACCGGTCCACTTTTGCATTGGGGTGTTTTCGGATAACAAAACATTTTTTTTTCATCAAAATTAAGAAATTTTGCCATCACAATGATGCTAATGTTGATGATCTGAGAGATTTATTGGTTACTAATTAATTAACCCTATTTACAAGCGATTGAAAAAGTATATATACCGTATTTACTCGCACAATGAACGCACTCGCGTAATAAACGCACCCCCCAAGTCGGCTCTCAAAATTTCGACTTTTTTTTTCACTCGCGTAATATACGCACCCCCAACTCTGACGTCAAAATTTTGACCCCCTCCCCCACGCGCGCGAAATGAACGCACTTTTCTATCCTGGTGCAGCGAGGTCGCGAATGCATGAGCAGCGTGGGCGAACAAAACGCCTTGCAAAAGGCGTTAAAAAAATTCGCAATGATCCAAGGGAAGCAAGAAAAAAAAAAACATAAAAAAGTGCTTTTTTTATTTTTTTATTTTTACAGCGCAGTTTGGATTTTAGGTTCGAGCGCCACCGCGCGCAAGGAGGTAAGAAAGAGAAGCGCTCTAAGCGAACAAAACAGCTTGCAAAAGGCGGCAAAAAAAAAAAAAAAAAAATTGCGGAACTAAGAAAAAACAAAAACAAAGACAGGGGTGGAACGGCTGCACCATTTGCGCCATTTTGCGCCAGACGCATATATCTGCGCCATTCTGCGCCATGTTGCAGAAACTGCGCCACAACCAATACCACAACCAATGCGCCAGTATGCGCTAAATCGCAAAACGTGCCCCCCAAAAATTTTATTTTTTGTCCTGGTTTCGGTTTTTATCGACTCGATTGGCAACAATGAGCACGTTTAGCTTGGTCGGCCTTGTAATCCTTTGTTCTGTTTATTCTCCCTGTGTATCCCGAGTTGGAAGCGCGTGAAAGAACTCGGATTCTAAGCGCCACACGACCTGCGACTGGATTGTTATTCTTCAACCATAAGCGGTCGGCCTAGGTGAGGTCGAGTCGTTCAGCGTCAGATTGCCTGAAGCTCTGTGGCCCGGGATCCAAACGTTAGCCTTCATCGTTGTTGGAACCGCATTCTCTCAAGATAAATTTTGATTTGATAGAGCTGCACGCGGTCTGATCCGAAACCTTGCTGGCCAGCAGCCCTCACGCGAGCGCTTCAGATACGATAACTCCGTTAATCATAGTCTGCTGCTTCGATATTGAGTTGCACAACTCGAAATTTGTTTCCCTGTTCCTCCGCGCTACTGCACGCCCGTCGCTTACGCACGCCACGTGGTTCGCAGATATACTTACTATGTTGAGCACGTGTGGGTTGTGCGATAAGCAGTGCTGGTTTGCATTTTGAGCAGCTGAAAGCCACTCGGAAATATCAAGGACGCTATCTTCAGAAACATATGGTACTTGCTTTTTGGTTCTCATTAAGGCTCACAAAGTTTCAAGTTTTCGCATCTGTTACACTGTTATCCCATCTACCTAGGTCCCTAACCACTCATGTTCATCCATGCTGCTTAGCACAATTGAAATTGCTCCCGTGCTTGTCTAAGGCACAAGCTGAAGTGCAATGAAAACTGAACTGAGCTGCTCCTAGCCTGCTCCAGAACGCAGTTTTAGCTGCTCCCAACCTGCTCCTAAACAGCTGTTTCAGCTGCTCCCGTGGCTGCTCCCAAGCGCAGTTCATGAGTTCCACCCCTGAAAGAGTTTTTTTTTTTTTTTTTTTTATAGTTTGGTTACAGGGGAGGTGGGGGTCGCGCGCCGCGCGAAAGAAGGTAAGAAAGAGGAACGGAGAAGCCCTCTAAGCAAACGTAACAGCTTGCAAAAGGCGGCAAAAAGAGAGAGAAAAAAAAAACGAACTGAGGAAAAAACAAAAGAAAAAAAAGGAGCTTTTTTTTCTTTTTTGCACAGCGCAGTTTGGTTACCGGGGGGGGGGTTGCGCGCCGCGCGCAAGGAGATAAGAAAGATACGCGGAGAGCCCTCCCTAACCAACGCCTAAGCAAACAAAACAGCTTGCCAAAGGCGGCCAAAAAAAAAAATAACAAGGGATTTAAAAAAACAAAGGAGTTTTTTTGCTTTTGCACAGCTTAGTTTGGTTACGGGGTCGGGCGCTGCGCGCAAAGAGATAAGAAGTTATTTCGATTTTTCAGGATAAAAGGTCTTCATTATGCGAGTAAATACAGACGCAAAAATTTTACTTGGCCTAATGAACGCCCCCCCCCCCTCCCTCCTCAACCTTGCATAGATTTTTCGGGGGAAAAAAGTGTGTTCATTCTGCGAGTAAATACGGTAACGGTAAAATTATGTAGACTATAAAAAGTGTTCATCTTTTTATTATTGCGCTGATTTTATCGGGCAATAAAGAGTTTTCTGGCCTTCTCCCATTTTTATTAAAGTCTTCGAGCATGCGAACATGATGTTTTGAATGCGACAACAAAATCACCTTTGTGCCTACACGCAAGTACGAGATAACAAAACAAATACTATTTATGACAGCCAGTCGCGCCAAGATGGCCAGGGAGCATCATCGTACCGAAAGCGTTCCTCCGCCAATTTGGATGTCTTTGGCACCATGCATGCAATAAACTTATAACTCATGCTTATTTCCCCACATCTCTTACAATTATGTTGCTCTTATTGCGTGTTTCAAGACAGTAAAATTATTTTTTGATGCCTCTAGCACTGACACCGCACGCGACGGCATACATCTTCGTACCACCATCACATGCAACGTCAGTTTTTAGGCATTGAAAAATAATTTTACTGTATTGGAATACGTGAGAAGAGCAACATAATTGTAAGAGATCTGGACAAATAAGCACGAGTGATAAGTTCATTGCACGTGCGGCGCCAAAAACGTTTACATTGGCCGAGGAACGCTTTCGGTACGATGATGCTCATAGCGATCTTGGTGCGACTGGTTGGAATGACAACCTTTTGAAGATATGAAAGGCCCAAAATGGTGATCGCCATGGCAACAGAGAGCGATCAGCCAATCACTTTGATAGGTTTTGTCGTCTGTATGTTGGTATTTGTTTGTGTCCGGCTAGCAGATGGGAAGGCAACGGTGCTACTTCCACAGATCCAGCGATTTTAAGTGGTACCGGCCTGGGCGACATGGGCACAGGGCACTATCAATAGGGGAGCTCCTCTTTCTTAAAAATAAGCAAAAGCTCATTTTTAAGCTTTTTGATTTCGTTTGACACAACGCCCGACACGACGTAATACGCTCGATCGCCGATTGTTTTTGGAACACGGTTCTCGGCGGACGGTGTGCTCCTATGGGGCCACTTCTCGCATGTTTACTAACATGATGTCATACCGTGTATATGTGGGCTGATTTTCGACTGGTTGCCACCTGCTTCGATGGACCTTTTTCTAGAAGAGTTTGGCGCATGTGCGAGCTCCCGACACCCAGCGGCTAACGTTCAAATTACGTCTGGTCGGTCCGGCGGTCGTGGCGTCGACCGGGCTGCGGCGAACATAGGGCTCGTAAGCGTCCACCGCGACTGCTCTATTAAGTTTTACTTTATTTTATTTTTATTTTGAGTGACCCACCAACAGCTGAACGCCTCCTCGGTGGTGCACTTATCAATGAGTCAATTATTAGTAAAATTTTAAACAGGATAAAAACGAAATGTTAGGACAAAACAGTAGTCTCAAGACACTTTCTAAATTTGTGCTCTTCATCAAAAATATCAAGATGATATTTTTGATCTGCTTTGATCAGCAATTTTGGCGTGTAAACGTGTAGGAGAGGGATGCCGACTCCCCTCTCCCGAGCGGACGCGCCGCCAATCACCACTCAAGTTAGGACGCACTTAGTCGGGACACGCTACCCGAAATCACCGGTCAGACGTGGTTGTGTAAGAACAGTACAGTGAAACCCGTTTAGGACAAACCCACATACAGCGAATTATTGTCGATATCGAACTCACGAAAAATTTAAATCAAAATGTATGTAAAAAGTACTTTTTATAACGAACAACATATTGGCTATATCAAACTTTTTTCCCCTGGGAAAGCTTCCAAAAACGCGCAAACAATCATCTTTCAGCCAATGCCTTCGCCTGAAAAAGTATAGGAAAGAAAAAAAAATTCCAAAAGCTCGAGCTGCAAACAAAAATAAGCAAAGAAAAGCGATTCCGAAGGGCACAGAAAAAAAAAAATTTAAGTGCAAAGCGGTTGCTTACGAAGAAAAGCAATTAAAAAACGAACATAAGCAAAAAAAAAAATTTTTTTTCTTGCGCATTGTTACAAGGCGGAAGCGAAGGGATGAGAAAGAAAGAGAAGCTCTCGCCTCCTCTCCCTTCACACCCTGTTTCACCTAAAGTCACTTTAGTTTGACCTAGGGGGCCTTCATGTCCCGCCGAAGAGAACTTGAAGGCACTCTAGTTTGACCCTCCTCACCTTGCGCGTTCACTTGGGGCTTCACACGTCACGCCCCAAGAGGCAATAAGCCTATCGCATTTCATATTCCATAACATTGTCACATGCCGTTGAAAGCGTCAACCACAGGCAAAGCTCTCTCTCTCCCTCCCTCCTTTCTTCTCGTTAATTTAGTCGTTGTTGTCGTCTTTCGTGACCCATTGCACTTTCTGTTCACTGTGCGGGCCAGCTAGTTCGCACCTGAAATGACGACGAAGCAGCGGCAGGCTCTGCCACTTTCCGACAAAGTCGACATCATCAGTCGTGTGGAGCACAGCGAAAAGAAATCAGACGTTGCCACCGCTTACAAGATCCCCAGAAGTACGCTGAGTACAATTTTTAAAAACAAGTCTGCCATCTGAGACAAGGCCCGTGAACGGCCAAACGCGGACAGCAGGCGCATCTGCAAGCCGGTGTACGACAAGGTGGAAAAAGCGCTGTACCAATGGTTTTTGGACATTCGTGTGCGGAACCTGCCGGTCTCCGGACCAACGTTGCAAAGCAAGGCTAGAGATTTTGCATCCCTCCTGAACGTTGAGGCCTTCACCACTGGATCTGGGTGGCTGCAGCGATTTAAAGATCGATATTTAATCGTCGGGAAAGTCGTAGCTGGGATTTGTAAATGGGTTTTGCTATATCGAACTACTTGCTATATCGAACTGATCGTAGCGTTTCCTGCTGTTCGTTATAAATGGGTTTCACTATATTAATTGTGCTGGAAGGGCTCGTAAACGAAAATTTTATGAAAACATCACGTTCTGCGATTCTGAACTGATCTCCAATAAACGTTCCTACAAAAAAAGCTTTTCTTTGCTTTTACTCAAAAACATGCTTTCTAAATGCAAGTAATGCCCACAATAAAAAAAAAAAAAAAAAAAAAAAAGATTGAGAGTTTATTTTGGTGCCATGGAGCCTGGGAGTTTGGGTACCCTGGGAAGATTGAGTGACTCCAGTCGGTGCTAAGATGGAAGGGCATAAGAGTTGGTAAAGCTGGTCCCTTGGACCACCTCTGGTTGGTACATCCACCGCCACCTTTACATGAAAAAGGTCCATTTGAAACTAGCGCCAGCCGAAGTATCCATTGTATAGACGGGCCTGCTGTCAGGGTTCTCTGTTGGCTGTTCCCAGGTCCATCCGAGGACTTCGGTCGAGGACCAGGGAGAGCTGTCTTCTCTGCTCCAGGTCCCTCTGGTGGTACGTAGACAACCCTTGCTCTGCAAGGCGGGAGACTAACTCTTCCCGACCGCAGGCCGGCACGGTGAACCGCGGCAGCGACGTGGTGGGGGCGGGCATGGTGGTCAACGACTGGTGTGCCTTCTGCGGCATGGACACCACCAGCACGGAGCTGTCCGTGGTGGAGAGCGTCTTCAGGCTCAACGAGGCCACCCCGGCGGCCATCACGACCACCATGAAGGCCTCCCTCATCGAGAGGTGACCCACTTTCCGCCCTGCCGTCTGTCCTCCGCGGAGATTTCGCCGAGCATTCTATTAAAAGCCGATTAATTAACTAACAAGTAAAAATTATCGTAATATTGGGACATTAAAGTATGATTGAAAAACAGCTCTTTAATTTGACATTAACTTTATACGGTGGAACCTTATTAATTGGAAGTCAGTCGGACGGTGAAAAAGATCCGATTTATGCGGATTTGCTAATTATCTAAAAACGAAAGAAAACTACCATAAATTGTGTGTGAAGCCTTGAATCTTTAGGGAAACATTTTATTCAAGACGAGTAGTCAAAACCAGAGCCTCTGGTCAAAACGAGAGAACATCACCCGAAGTAGTCGTCGCTGTGGTTGTTATTGGACTGCCGCGTTCTGTAATTAGTGGCGCCGAACGTCATGTTTTCAAGAAGGCTAACTAGGCGCAACATCTTAGAATCGCCGCCGTTACATTTCACGAAGCTGCGGACAACTTTCAGCAATTGTATAACTTCCCCTAGAGCAGGTGCCCAAGGCGGCTCATCATCGCCGTCAATCTCTGTCGTCCCACGGTCAGTGATTTCGCTCTCAAGGTCCGCGTAGCAGGTTTGCTCATTCTGTTCCATGTTTAAGTACTCGGTGAACCTGATGCCGACCAACTCACCGTCCCTGTCCTTAATGCGGGAGCAAAGCTCGTCTCCCTCATCATCAACCCCAGGGACAACACTGGCAGTAGCACTGGCGGCATCCGTGGTATCCTCCACGGCCGGTCGTTCCTTCGAAAATCCAGAGTGTTCGAAGCACCTCTTGATGACTTCACCTGTTTCCACGCATCCACAATCAGGCATATAGCCCCGAGAAGATAAATGGCCCTTGTCGTAGCAGAGTAACAGCAGCTTCAAAAGGTGGTAGCGATAGATCTTCCGCGTATGAGGAATAACTCCTTGGTCCATTGGCTGCGAGATGGACGTCGTGTTCGGGGGGAGGAAGGCCGGCTTGATCGTTTGGAGGTTCTGAATGTCACCATGGCCGGGACAGTTGCCAACGACGAAAACAACTTTTCGTCCTGCTGCGGCCAACTTTCGATCATGGAGATATACATACTCTTTGAAGATGGCTGCTGTGACCCAGTCTTTCTGGTTGTTTTGGTAGACGGGTTCATTGGCCGGTGGAAGCCGAGCATTCTTGAATCGTCGTGGCTTCTCTGCTTTTCCTAGGACCAGGAGGGGCAGCTTGTGTTCGCCCGTCATGTCTGCACTATTCTAGACTGTGGATCCTATCTTTTGCCCGTTTCCGTCCTATGACGTCGGTGTCTTTCGCTGCTTACGTTTTTGTAGGAAGCATCTTGTAAGAAAGAGCTGCTTCGTCCAGATTGTAGACGTCCTCTGCGCTGTACTTGCTAAGAAGTGGAGCCTAGGTGTCCTTTATCCAGTCTTTGACAACAGTCTTGTCCGCGCTGCTGCCACACCACCACACACCGTAAGGAATGTCAAGTTGTTCAGTTCTTTGAAGCGAGAAAACCATCCGTTGCTGCACTTGAATTCTTCGTGTCCAAGTTTCGAAGCTAAATCGTTGACCTTCTTTCGGAAAATCGTGTCGTCGACTGGAAGGTGAGCTGCGGTGGCATTCTGGGGCTAGGTTATCGGGGCAGCTCTGATGTCCGGGTATGTGGGGAATTGAATTTGCGAACGCTTTGCAGAGTGCGTCTTGCTGTACGCCTCAATGATCCCTGCTTGGTTCTTCGGAATGGTGCAAAGTGTGGAGATTGGCACCTGGTGCTTCTCCGCGAGCTTTGTTTTTGAGCACGTCGATTTGTTTGCTTCTTCGATGAGGCAAATCTTTTGCTTCGAGGTTAAGGATTCATACTTTGGCGTCTTTGGCCTGTGCAGCTCGTAACGGCCCGAACCACAGCGGCGCAGCAACAAGAACAACGATGACCGACACCGATCCGATCATAAACTCCACGTGAGGCGAGAGCAACTAAGCCTACCCAACACCTGCCCAAGCCCCGAAAAACAAAGGGACTACTAAGTGCATGAACCAGGATACAGAAAACGCAGGAAACGGAGCAGCGAAGGCCATGTTTTTTTTTGCTTCCGAATCTGGACGCCAACTGGCGCCACCTAGCAACTAAACATTGAGCCGGAGTAGACCAAATCAGCGAATTAATTGGGTAGGCACGCGCGGAGCGCTCATATTATCCGGTTGTATTTTAATGAGAAGTCATGGGACCGTGGAAATTTCTGATTATCTGCGATTTCAAATAAACCGAGATTGAATTATTGAGGTTCTACTGTAATTGTAGGATACATAGAAGGGAAGTTATAAACCGTGACCACTTTCCATTCTAGCAGAACTGTACCGGTGACTGCTTTTACCATAGCTATGCGGAGAGCAAGTCGTCTGCTTCTTGAGCAAGAGTCGCGGTGACATCAGAAAGACATCGACTTCTGATTGGCTCCGATTGAAAGATGGTGGGTAGACCTATAAGCAAGCTGCCTTGAGGTCTACCCCCTACCCTCCTAATCAGAGCCAATCAGAGCTGGGCTTTCTGACATCACCACAAACTCTGCAAAAGAAGCAGACAAACTTCCGGTCTGCATTGGAGCGTGTTTGCACTCGACTAGGTTTCAACTGGGTCACTGCTTATTCCACCTTTTTACGCTGGAAAACATAAAAAATGTATGCGACGCTTTAGTAAAATATTGATTGCAGTGATGTGATTGCTGCACCAAACTGCGCCATGGGTCTAACCCTGATACATCCTGCTACATTTTTCCGAAATATGGGTAATCTGCGCCAAGCCTGCGCCAAAGGAGCAATTTCGGTCGCCTTTCAAAATCGAAACGAAACTCAGTACAGTTGCCAACAGTTTTTTCGGACTCCGATAATTTGGACTTGTTCTATATTTCGGACCTAAAGGCGGAACCGTGACTTACCCCATAGAAATAGTGTATATTCACGACCAATGTTTTGGACAGCGTGAAGTATGAAAGTTTGATTATTCTGACAAAATTGTCGCAAGCGATCAGCAAAAAACACCGTCGAGAAGCGGCCGTTTTGAATTCTATGTTGGCTGCCAATGGATTGGCTTGGTTTGGCAGCGTTACTTGAGCACTCCCGAGTCCTACCGCTAGGTGACGCTATGCTAGCCCTTTTTTTCCCATTTAGCTGCACGTCATCATCATCATCATTATTATCATTTTGCTTTGTTTTTCGTTCCTTCGCGTCACCAGTCGCCTTTTTGCGCTCTTGGATTTGCGCCTCTGATCTCGTTCGGACAACGCTGGCTTGGACGTCATTTCCCCATTTGTTCTTCTGCTACTCGACCATAACGCTAGAAAAGAAGGCAGCGATTCTCAAGCTAACAGAAAGCTGTCGAACGGAAACGGAGGCGTAACCTAAAACAAGGCACGCAGGCGTAACCTGAACCAAGCCACTATTTACGGCTTTTTTAAGCCCACTTGGAAGTAATAAAGGCAGGTTTTTCAATCTGCTGATTTTTCGGACTGCTCTATTATTCGGACGTTTTTTCGGTCCCAGCGAAGTCCGAATAATCGGTCGGCGATTGTACCGTGAGCTAGGTGACGCAAGCAGCCACCCGACACAGAGCACCTTGCATCAATTGTCCATCTGGTCTTGCACGGTTTTTCTTGCCATCTCTCGTTTCGCACTCTCGTGGGTCTCGTCTCGCGTCTTTTTTAAAATGTTTGTAACGATAGATGCAAGCCTGTGCGGACGCTCCGACGCTAGCTTCCCGGGTACCAGCCATGCCGTCGTGTTGTGAAATGAAACTATGTTTTTGCGAGGTGGGAGTTAAGCGCCGTTCACACATATGTAACCGAGAGAGACCAGACTGGTTTTAAGCCTCTTGCGACGTCTTAGGACCGGATGCACTGCAGCGGAACAGGTCCTACGACGAAGAGGCTTAAAAACCGGTCTGGTCTCTCTCGGTTGCAAGAGTGTGAACGGGCCTTTACTCGGTTGCTTATGTGTGAACGGTGCTTTACTTTGTGAGCTTGAAGTACTCGCTCTTAGAAGGAACGGCCGTGGGAAAACCATATTTGGTCCCTGCCTACCAGTCACCGTGGTTGCATGACGTCGGGTGTTGCCGTCCCCACATCGCTGCAGATATGGCGCTTTCTAAACTGAAACAATCAACATTCCTGTTCTTGTTGAAATCATAACGCTAGTACAAAAATCCCTCTTTAGCTCAAAGACTGCTGTGTCAAAGTATTGATTGCCTAGGTTTCTCTCGTTGAGCTTTCTTCTGAGAGGGACCCTCGTACGTCAAAAGTTTGCCGCGAAAGAAAGTCGAAGAGAAGTGAGCTAAAGCGAAAAAGGAAATGTCTGCACGCTGAACCCGCACAACGCACTTGTTTGTCTCGAGTTCTGCCGTTGCAAAACGCGCTCCAAGAACTTTTCGACCCTGTCTGGCAGTGTCTTGCATCGATACGCTCAGGTTCTTTTTTTGTGTGTGTTTAGCTTGTACCTCGCCTGCCGGCCTGGCAAGCACGCACCGTTGGACTGTTTTTGTCGTATGCTGTACCGTCTGAATCTGTCGGCGACGGAGCGGATTGGTATGGTTTTGGTTTTGATCGAACAGCTGTCTCCACTCGCGCGACGAAGTGCGTGCAACTGCAAGCTGGCGAAGTTTCCCTCACGTGCATGCGAATATGATTGCACGACAGAGGCACAGCCGGGCCGCTTGCAATCCATTGCTTTACATTTGCTTGCTTTTGACGAAATTCTGGCACGTCGAGAACGAACCAGTAAAACGGTGGCAAGGGGTTGTTTGGAATGGCTCGGCAATGCCTACAGCACTGTACACTTGTGGGATGTCTCAATGTCTCTTTGGAGACATTGAAAGTGGACATTCATTACTTGCCGAAGCCAAAGCAAGGCTTGCAGCAGACTTGCAGAAAGTTCCGAAAAGCAAAAGGAAAAGCACCCGCTACTTGCTCTGCGCCTTTTTCATGTGTACAGTTTCGCATTGCACTGGGGCAGCTACGTGTTTCATCAGTCAGAGACTGCTTCAGTTTATTATATTGTATAACTAGTCAACTTTATGCTTTGATATTTTACTAATAAGCCGGTCATTTTCAAATAAATTTAATATGTTCATTGGTTCTTTTTTATTTATAGCGGGTACATAGGTATATATGTATCATTTAACTGAAGCATTGCAAAATGTGTCATGTCATTGGCATTTCAGTTAAGGGGGGATGGCCTGGGAGGGTCAACTTTTGAACCATTGTCCCAAATTGATTCAAACTTTCAGGGTGAATTGAACCCCATTAGGATTGATGACATCTAAAGTTTCAGTCTTATAGGCCAACTCTACAACATACTATGCTTAACAAGCTCCAGAAAAAAGTTGCTTTATTAGGAAATGTATTTTAGAAAAATAATAATTGCAATCCATAAAATGTTTGGTTTAATGTGAAGTAGAATACCCGTAGTGCAAGTTAAGGTGAAAATTACTTGTAGAAAATGCAATTCTAGAGAAAAACAATGACATTCAAAAAGAGCAAATGATTTTCACAAATTTCTGCATTTTAAAATATTCAGTTTTTGTCGTGAAGAATTTAGCATTCTGAGATTATGAGTACCTTAACTTGTTCCTCAGAAAATTTCAGCCCAGGACACCACTGAATGAAATCTTTACACTTTCAAAATGTCCAATGATACATTTCCTCATACCACATTTCCTGCCAAAAAGTGAAACTGAGAAAAATGCAGTTGAAGTTTCAACTTTAGGTTTCTTACTTTTCTGTGAGACCGAGGTAGGTGAAATTCACCTGGTGCGATGTTAGCACATTCCTCTTTATGACTTCCTTGTTCCCCTGGCAATAGCTACCAGTTTGTGTTGTTTGAGGGCATGCTAGCTTTTGTAGCAGGCATACCTTGACAGATAAACTGGCAAGAACTAAGAGGCAAATCGCACTAAACAAGAGCAGCAAAGCAGGAATAGGATCTGAAGTGGAAGATACTGTAAAAGAGTGTTACTGAAGATGACACAATATCACGTCACCGGGAATGACCAATCGTAAACCCTATTTCTGGTCTCAACCAATAAGATTGCCCATACCAAATTTTCAGAATTTTTTCTGTTTGGATGTATTGGGTTTTCCTGGCCATTGATACTTGTAAACTTGGAAAGCTTCTACGGGCTAAATCTAGAGTAAATGGCACTTCCAATAGGGGCAAGATGTTCTGGCTATGTTAAATAAGTATGAAGCAGCACTAAATAGAAAACACAAAAAACTTGCTCCCTGCTGACTCGGAGGGCTGCCGACCTGTCGAAAATAATTTATTGTGAGATGAATCCTGCATGTTTATAAATGAAAGTTTCTGAAACCATTCTTTTGAAGTTAATGAACATAAACATATCATTTTTGAAAAAAACATTTTTTTCAGAAATATTTGAATTCCGAGGCCATGTCCCCCCTTAACATGTTGAAAGAATCCTAGGTGGTCTTAGTTGACCATAATTTGTTTATTTTGGCGAGCAAAGTGCTCTTCATTTGTTGAGCACTTAAAGCAAATATTTTTATTTTTCTAAGAATAACTACTCCAAAAGCCACTTTTTCCTGTTCCGAAACACTGTTCTGGCCACTGGAAATGCCACGTTTACTGCTCCAAAACACTGTATTGGCTGCTCCAAAAGCCACTTTTGCTGCTCCAAAGCAATGTTTTGGCTGCTCCGAAAGGTGCTCCAAAACGTCTTAGGCCAATCACATCACTGTGATTGGGTAGTCTTCATACACAGTAATGATTCGCCTGGCAAAAAAAAAATAACAGATTGTCGTGGTTGCCAGTGTCCCTTTAAAAAAGAATGGCTACATGTAATTTTTTTTAGTCTCTCTCTGAGGCCAGTGATCACAGTGATGTTGGGAAGTACTTTGAGTGCATTGCACCATAGACTTACAAATACAATCTCTCACTATCTGCTTGTACTTAAAGTATTTTTTCTCCTGGTACTTTCCGAGAAAAGTATGATTCCCGGCTTCAAAGTATGTTCACCGAATACAGTCTCGTTAAATTTGTGTCGCAAAATGATGTTTTGTCAACTTTGAAGAAATGCTGGGAGGGAAGTAATGGTGGCTCTAAGGAAGATACGAATAGTGCCTTATAAGCTTATTGTGTGAAATAGCTTGCCAGCGAGATGAAAACTACTCTGTGGGCATTTGACATTGTCCAACATTTGCCTCCATTTCTGAAAATAACTGATACACTCCCGGTTACCCCCGAATTAATGCGTACCAGTTATATAAAAAAAGAATAGAATTAAAGTGCACCACGAAGGGTTGTTAAGAAAGTACTTCACTTTGAAAGTACATTGTGTATGCAGTATTTTACTGAGTACATTGCAGCCAATGTATGTACTAGTTTACTTGAAACCTCCCGTTTACTTTGTACTTTACTTCCAGTATTTTTATATGTACTTTGATACAACACTGAATCCCAGTGCAATCAATAACATCGCCAGGAATTTTTTTTTTTGGGGGGGGGGGGGGGGTGGAGGGGGTTTCCTTTCTTCCCCAAATGCCGGGGGGGGGGGGGGGGGAGAGGGAGGGGCTGAGGTGGCTGCGATGTCCATGGCTTGGGGTGCGGAGGGGGGGGGGGGGGTCAAAATGCATGTGTATATTATAGGGTTGGCTGGATTTCAGGGGGGCGGGGGGGGGGGGGGTTCATAAGCTCCCCCCGCCCCCCTGGCTACGCCCCTGAGTGCAGTTAGCAGACATTGCCATGCCATTCTAGTGCCCTGTAGTGTAGATTGATGCTAATTTGGCTGGATTTCGGGGGGGGGGGGGGGGGGTGAAGCCCCATAAGCCCCCCCCCCCCCCCTAGCTATGCCCCTGAGTGCAGTGATAGGCATTGCCATTCTAGTGCCCTGTAGTCTACATTGATGCTAATTTGGGCCTTTCACTGCCATCTTCCACATCTTCTAGCATGACCTGATGCTGCCCTGGGATGCGAGGATGGATCGCAAATGGACACCAATCTTTGCAAGCCCCATGTACAGTAAAGCAGGTCCACTGCTGTGCCTAATTTTTTTGTTTTTAAATAATAAAGAATGCACTTGCTGATTCATAATCCCTCTTGCATTTCTTCTTGTACTGAAATTGATGGGTTACATCACACAGTCAAATTTAGTTGTAATCTCGACGACCGTAAACAATGTGACATTCTCGACGACCTAATTTTAAGTAGTGCGCAAAATTGGTCTCGCTAATACGTCATCCCCTGGAATAACTTCACGACAGCCCAAATCGCAAAGTTTTGTACCGCAAAATATTTGCTAAACACGCTTTGCAAAATTTGCAAAATATTCAGCCTGTAAAAATAAAGTATAATGTATGGCTGTATTTCTGACAAGCAGACAGCGACAAACAACCCCACTGAGCGCAAGACGTCTCGTAGCCGGCTTGAGACGGCTCGACTAAGCTAGAGACGTCTTGGGCTACCCAAGACGTCTAAAAGACATCTCAAAAAGACGACTCGTCTCTTGGGCGTCTCGCAGCCGTCTCTAAGACGTCTAGGAGATGCCTTGCGAGACGTCTTGTAGCCCAAACGAGGGGGAGCATTATGAAGTCTACGGGGCAGCTACAAGATAACTGAAGACGTCTTAGGCTATCACGTCTTGCCAAGACGTCTAACAGACGGCTTTGTGTTCAGTGGGAACACCGAGAGGGTTTCTTTGCAGTGATGGCCACAGGTCCACGGAAGACGCTCTCGTTGCGTTGTCGTTAGCCCGGTCACGGACCGATGCTGGCACTGGCAGGCGTATGCATGGCAGCCTAGAACACAACGCCCATTTTGGTCAGAGAAGAATGTTAGGCTAGGTGGCACAAGCCACCGCCCATTACAAAGGGTGTAGCCATTAACATTCATCTATCCATCCAGTTCTAAACACTCACTGGATTCTCTGATGCCACCCATGTTGGCAGGACCAGGGCAAGACAAACCTTGCCAATGGAAAAAGCTGTGTCTGCGGGTTTTCACTGCTACCGAAAGGAAACTATGGTCGTCGACCTGTTTTTTTGCCAGACGAATTGAGAAATGTGTTGCTTTTTCAGCCCGACATTCGAGGAAATGGCTTTGGAACAGTCTGGTTACTGTTAGGACACGTGTGTCAAAAAATAAACTACGCGAAAAAAAAAAAAAATTTTACAGCGATATTGACGGCGAAAGATTTCTTTGAAATTCTGCGCGCGAAGTTCATGACGTCACGGGTCATTCCGGAATGACCTATCTCGGTCGTAAAGGCGAAGCCGATCCCCCTCTCCTCCACGCGCCCGAAATGCCGAGAAAAAAAAAAAAGTGGAAAGGAGGTGACTACCCATAAATCGCGTCTCACGCCGTCAATAATGCACTAATTTTTTTTTCGTGTAAAATTTATTTTTTGACAGGCGTGTTCAGCGCTCTATCCTGTCTCCCTTATCTCTCCTTCCTGTCGTATTCAACAATATGATCAACCAACTAGCCCACCAGATGATCGTGATGTGTTTCAACCAAACTTTTTAAACAAAACATTTTTTTTTTTTTTAAGGGCCCTTTAAAGTGATGATGAACCGAACATTTCAGTGTCTATAATAAGCGGCGCAGTATCTTTTTTTTATGAGTCAGCAGCCCCCGGTGTGTGCGAGCCCTCCTTGGCGCGAGCACGCGCAGCAAAATTCACGTCATCATGTTCCCCATTCTCGCCATTCTCAGTGTCTGGCTCTCATTGGACTGGAAGGAGTCAACATATTTTATATTTTCAAAGTTTTAAAATCATATTAAGAACTAATCACGACATGAATGAAATTTATGCCAAGCCATAAAAAAATTCAAAATGTCTATCCTTTTTACTGATGAAAAGATAAATAAATCCGGCTGAGCCCTTTGGATTGGGCGGTAGCTTACGCTACCTAGCCACCGTGGAAAACAGCTAACGCCTTCTATCGAACTTTTTAGGCGGAAAATGATCTCTACGGGAGTGGTGGGAGTAGGCACTGGAGAAACGTCACAAATCACGTGCCTGGTACGCTTCACTTGGGAAGGCTACGGCCAGCTACGGCTGCGCATTCCTGATTTGGCTTTCTCACTGGCATTGACATCAGCATCGGCTGATGGGGGTTCATAGCAGCTTTATCCGTGCGAAGTACACGTAGGTTTAGCGGTGTGCGGTTCTAACCCGGAAAGCAGGCACCTTTGTACGGACGCCCGTTCTGCGCACTTGTGAGCAGCCTTGGTTACAATGACCGAAATCACGGACTGGTTCCGCAGTCTGCCGGTGTTCACACGCTATTGGTTCGGCCTGTCGGTTGTGTTTCCCATCCTCGGCCGCTTCAGGCTCGTCAGTCCGCAGTACCTGGTCCTCACGTACGACCTGTTCGTCAGGAAATTCCAGGTGAGACTTCTGGGACAACGCTTTGCGCCCCCGGGAGCGCTAAAGGGAGCGCGGGCGGCCCTCTGGCTCTGCCCTCATCCCGGCCGGCTTCTCTGGTGCAGATATGGAGGCCCATCACGGCGGTGTTCTTCTATCCGATGGGGTTCCATTACCTCGTCAACCTGTACTTCCTCTACACGTATTCGATACGCCTCGAGACAGGTGGGCTGCGCCCTGGTGCCACTCTCCCGGGGGGCTCACTGCCTGTCTCTTCCAGGGCTCTTCGACGGCCATCCTGCAAACTACCTGTTCATGCTCCTCTTCAACTGGATCTGTATAGTAGTATCCTTTGCCGGGCTGCTAGCAACTGTAGCCAGTAGTGAGCTAACTCGCTTGGTTCCCTTGACTTGTGACTGGACAGATTGTAGCGCTGCTGTCTGATCTCATGGTGAGTTTTTGCATCCCTTGCCAGGCCTGCCAAACTGCACGAGAGGCTTTTCTGGTCCACCTTTAGTGTCTTGATGGCCCTCAACTTGCGGTGACCATCAGACTAAGGGGGCCGATTGACGTGCTTTCCCAGAGCAGAAAAACATGGGGTGCTATGTTGCGCTTTTTGGACTCCCAGGAGATTAGGGAGAAGGAAGTGACGTCAACAACGCAGCAAATGCAGATTGGATGTTGATTTTGTTTTCTTCTGTAAACATCCAATCTGCGTTTGCTGTATCGTTGACGTCACTTCCTTCTCCCTAGTCTCCTGGGAGTCCAAAACGTGCAACATAGCCCCCCTGGGCTCATTAGAGTGGGCCATATGCATTGGAACTGCAACTGACTTGAAGATATGCCTAGGATCTTCCATTTATTCTATTTGTGTGTGTGCTTCTTTTTTGCTTACATATATATCTTGCATTGACGTCACATCAGCCCCCATTGCTCCGGACCATGCTCCGGTCTGCAGCATACATTTGGCACCATGGACTTTTGGCAAGCCTTGCTGGGAAGAACAAATTCAATGGTGCCAAATGTAGGCTGCACAAGGTATGGGCACAGGAATGCTAAGGAGCAATGGCGGCTGGAACGTTGCCATATGACGTCATTTGCAAGGCATGAATATACAGATGATACGTGTCGGATGCAGGGCCAAACTTTGTTGAATTCTCGTTCTGTTTGTCTCCAGTTGTTGATGGATCCCCTCGTCCTGAGTGTGCTCTATGTTTGGTGTCAACTCAACAAAGACGTTATTGTGTCCTTCTGGTTTGGGACTCAGTTCAAGGTGAGTGAGTCTAACTGGCCTTCTAAGGGAGAGCCCACGGTGGCACCAAATGGCCTCAAAGGGTTCACTGTTTCCCTCATGTATCTCAGCTTCCCCAGATGGGTTTGTCAATTTTCATCCTTGCTCCATAGATGTCACCACAGGGCCCCTGAAACTAGAGTTCCTGTATAGGCTCCCTACGGGAGCCAGAGTTGCGCATTTGTTTTCCCCGCGCCGCCACTCCGCTATTCGCCGAGATCCATCACGTGAGGAGCAAAGCATCCGTTGGCGTGCAAGAAAGCCACCTTTACGGTCGCTCCGCCGACGCTTCTCTTACCCCGGCGTATGTTTCCCTGCTTTTCGCCTCCTTTTCCTCCTCTCCTGTTTTCCATGCGCAGGCGGCGCCGCTATTCGCCAAATTTAGCCACGTGAGGAGCAAAGCATCCAGCTCGTGCGGGAAAGCCGGCGCTACGGCCACGCGCCGAGGCTGAATGCGCAACTCTGCTACCGTAGGTAGCTATACAGGAACTCTACCTGAAACAGCTTATTTGTGTGTCTTTTGTACTTTTCTCACTGGACTTGGGTATCAGTTATCGCTTTTTCCGCCCGGGAAAAGGCTTTTTTGCATGCAAAAGCCAAGCTTTAATTGCAGTGTTTTCGTTGAACATAATAGCAACTTTCGTGGACATGGTTAATGATCATCAAAGAAGCATTTTATGTTGCACTTCATGTTGTTTGAAGATCATCAAAGAAGGAGCACTTTACGTTGCAATTTATGTTGTTTGAAAAAGTGTTCATTTACTATAGGTACAAGCGTTGCTTGATTGTATTTCAAAAAGTTGAACAAGATGAAATCAGTCGTTGGTTCTGGACATGAAGTTTAGGGAAAAAAGTTCCTTTTGGGAAGCCTTGCGAGGGTTTCTCATGTCACGTTGCAGAGAGTGCTATGTTTGTTTCCACAGTTGTTTCTTTGTAAGTAATGCCATGGTGGCACGAAAAGAACAGGGGTGAGCTGGAAGAGCTTAGCCATCAGAGAGGTATCCCAGAGAATTGGAAAAGTTTCCAAGACGATTCTCCCACCTTTAAATATACACACTCTCGGTGCTAACCTCTCGCAGAAATCGCCCTTTGTTGCACATTTTCTTTCTGCCAATTGAGGAATGTTGCGAACCAGGACAAATGATGGTAGCCAAGAATGAGCTGGAACTTTTCACGAGAGCACAGGATTATAAAAGAAAGATCTTGGCTGAGCGGGGTTAGAATCCCGTCTCTCTGCACAGCAGACATGTGCATTGGCAACTCTGTCATGCACGCTGCAATATTTCCTCAGCCATTAGAGTTTTTTGCACGGACATCAGACTCAACTTGGAGGTCGTCGCCTTTGCCTCAGAAAAACCAGGTATAGTGATGGTTACAACAATATTCAAATCACTTTCACATGAGACACTATCATATGCCACTTGTGGCAAGGAAAGTGTTTTTAGTATGTCATAAAAATGACGCAAAGTATGACACTTATGATAATTCAGATAGTAAGCCAACAATCAACAACATTTTATTAAATACCACCGCTCTTATGTGGCCGCCATTATCACTGCAAGCCACTTGCCCAGCAGCACACTTCAAGGCCACGCTACTGCAGTGTTGTGCACAAAAAGCTTGGGTTGAGTCTTTTCTAGCATACAATATTTTTGTTCTTCACGGGCCCATTAGCTGCACGAATTGGCAAATCCCCACTTTTCATCCCTGGGTTTAGAAGGATGGGGTTTGGAAGGAGTTGTTTGGAGTGGAACTGTGGTTGACGTCTACCTCGCAGCCACGTGCCGGTGTCTGTGAGTGAACTTGTGCTTATGTGCATTCTGCAGTAATGTGCGGTGTGTTGGAACTGACAATACTAGGGTGACCATTTTTGCCATCATTTTGTCTCAAAGAAACCTTATGTCACTTGCAGGAAGGTGCATTTGCGAAATGGGCTTGCTAAAATCGGCGTCTTAGCTGAGACAAAGCACTGGCGAAGCTAGCGCATGTGAAGTGTCAAGCGCTCTCCAGGCTTAGCTGGCTTTCTTTCACGCAGGCTAAGACGCCAATTTTTGTAAGCCGGCCCAGTACTTGGTGCAAGAAGGAAACCTGAAAGTACTCGTTTATATAAACATGCTTTGAAAATGTTACCTGGCGCAATTTTTAGCTCTTTCCGTCGTTACATCTGCCAATAGGTTTTTTGTATGGTCGTGCATGCTGAAGACTTCACGCTTGGTTTGTCAACATTGGAACAGTGTCATTAGACGATGACCAAAGTCACCTGCCTTTTCAACGAAGGACTCTGTTTATACGTTGGAGCGACTAGTAGCAAAGGCCCGAGTGTCTTATACAACAAGCAGCATGACTCTGCACTAGGCATCAAACACTGGAGCCCACTTTGTTGTGCGAGAGGGCATCTGTGGCATTTGAAGAGGCCTTGCAAACAGGCTTCGGGTGGGTGGCGTCCCCGTGGACCTGTGTGTGCAACGAGAGGCTCAGCGAGGCTCTTTCCTTTGTTCAGGCGGTCTACCTGCCGTGGGTGCTGTTTGCGTTCAACATGATCATCAGCGGCGGGTGAGTGCCCACTCTTGTCTAAAGCAGGGACCCCGTTTGGAAGGAACCGATTAAGGCTCTACGACCTCTCACTACACGCTGGCGCCATCTATGAGGTGGCTCTGGCGCTTCACTAGATAAAATGTGCCTACTGTCTAGGAGAAATGCTTTTTTAGAACTGGGGTTCTGCGTTTTACATTTTTGGACAAATTCTGGGTTTTTCTGAGCGTTTCTTTATTGCACACAGAATTCAGTTTTTTTTTATTGTACACATAATTCAGTTTTTCAGAATTTCAGCATGATATTGATCTGTTATAAAGGTAATGTTCAAGTACAGAAATACAAGACAGTCAAATACGGATACACTTTTATTACGCAGTCAATATTTTCTGCTTTTTCGGTGGCATTGATGACTTTTTACAACTTGTGGTAAATACAGGCATGTTTTCCAATGTTGCTCTCACTCACTGCAGCACGCTCCTTTCAACTTACAACGCGAAACATGGAGAATGCTCTTTCCACATTCGCGCTGGATATGGCGAATCCCAATAGGTACAGTGCACAGCGTGAAAGGATAAGCCACTCTTTTGCGTGCCATCTCCAGAACATTAGCGGTCCAACGATTTCCTTCACAGTGTAGGCCTGATATGCTCGGAACTCTGTTTCTAACTGGGTGAAGTCATGCCCGTGTGCCACAACGAGAGCAAACAAATGCTCGTACGTCTCGAACATTCGAGGCGGTTCTGCTTTCACAATGGCGGTTAACAATCTGCACATGATACCAAAATGACTCGTTGGTATATTGCAGGTCGTCCGCACTATTTCATTGGACAGTATGACTCCGCTTTTCGGCTACAGCATTGTAGTACTAGCAAAAGGTGTCAGCGGTGGAAGAGTGCTCCACCTCGTCAACCATGTTGAGTATGCAGTCTACTTCCCCTCCAAAACTCATCACTGAGGCGTTGGCTCATTGGCTTAACAGTGCCTTCAGGCGCACAGCATGTAGAGGATACACTTGAAACAGTGCACACAGCTCTGTACACTGTTTCAAGGCCACCCGGTACAATGCAAACATTGTGTTTTCCTGCCGAATGCGTTTAAAATGGCTCTAAAAGAGTTAACAATGATGAGAAGCCGCAGCAATGCGCTGTCAAGCACGCAAACCAATTCGTCCCGTGCGAAAAGAGTGTAGTTTATTCTATTCCATTGGGTTGCGGGGACCAATATATTTGACAAACAAGGACAAACAAGACTTGGGTACATCATTTGGAATTTTCGCGGACCTCGGCCACCGTTACTAGATTAGCTTAGTTGTGCAACTCGCTTCAGTTCACCTCCTGTCTTTTGAAGCGCCATCTAGATTTTCGTTTCCCAATTGTTTGTTCGATAGAGTACTGTGGAACGCCATCTAGACGCTTTGCTTCGAAACATGTATATTCCATAGCACACACTGCAGTTACTATGTTAGCCTTCTGGCGCGTCGAACGATGGGAGGCGATTCGTGGGGGCAGAAGGGGAGGTGCTCCTCGTGGCAAGCAGCGTCCATAACTGTGCTAATCTAATAATGTTGGCTTCAGCTTTTGTCGGCTTCAAACAAAGCCGACAACAATGTTTCTGCTCGGTCGCTCGTTTTAACTCTAGATGAGATTGCATTCTTGTCTCCGGAACTGACACAGCCATTTGGTCATGATTTTAGAAAGTAATGTAGTTTTTATTGTCGGGTCATCCTCTCTTTTAATGTTCTAAGATTTTCAAGATATTCTTTCTTTGACTGTCCTCTTTCCACTCCTTCTTTCGTTTTTTACTGTGGGGTGGGATTTGGAAAAAGGTTGCTGTGGCTTTATTGTACTGTTGCTAATGAAAGAAAGTGTATGTCGTCTCTTGTCCCACCTGTTCCTTATTCTTTCGGTGTTCCTCTACTTAAAGGGTGTTTTTTTTTTTTAGGTTTTAGATTTGTTTTAAAAAAAGCCCCGAAAGCTATACTAATGTGTTCTGTACAGCTGAGTTACACAGCCAGGGAAACATAATATAGGGGGCTAATTCTTACAAGAAGTCGGATAGTTAACAAACATGTGTTCATTAACTTTTCGATTAATGAAAATAAACATATAGTTCCGCTTAAAAACTTGCTGAGCATTATCGGAAAACTTTAGAAGGCTTTGAAGCGCGTGTTAATCACGGTAGCGTGCTAAAGTTGTCTCTCGTGCAGCAGGTGCAGTTTTATCATCCATGCAAAAACATGGATGATAAAAGATGGAAAACCTGCGTGGGTGCTTTCTTGCACCCATAGCCTCGCGCCTTTTGCACCAGTGGCACCTTTAGCGCAGCATCGCACTTCCCACGCTCTCCAGGTTTTTTAGTTTTTTTTTTTTTAATTGACTGATGGATAGTTTTTGACGACGCTCAGCAAGTTCGTAATTAGAAGCATGTTTTATCTTGACTAATTAAAAAGTTAATTAACAAATGTAGTTAATTAATGGACTTGTTGTGACGATTAGCTCCCTATATCGTCCCCTTTTGACCAAACAACTCCCCTGCCCAGGCCGCATTGGTGCATCTTCGACGGCTTTTTAATAAACGGTCTGTACAGCCTAAAAAAAGCCGCCCTGTACACGCCAAATTTTGCGATTTTTAGAGCTCTAGTAATTGGAGTAATTGACTAATGTTGAGCATTTTCATCTGGAAACGCTGGAGAACTGTGACATCATCTGCCTACATGAATCGCACCATGATGTCTACAAAGCAGCTGATCGTGATTGCGTAGTTGAAGACACTCGGATTCTAGGCTTAGCCAATTTCGGCCAAGCTTGCTACTCTCGCTCTTGCCCCCTTGCTACTTTCGACCTGGCATGCATGTGCGCCTGGACAATTCACTAAGCTACCCTCGTTGCCAGTCGTTGCGTGCTGCAGCTCATTGTGGCGAATGCTGGTCTAGAAGCGTTGTGTAAATTTGGAAATGGAGTGGCACTCGAGGCATGCACTTGCATTGCAGCGGCCTGTACGAGCTGATTGGCATCCTGGTGGGGCACCTGTACTTCTTCCTCATGTTCAAGTACCCGCAGGAATTTGGAGGACGCAACTTGCTGCAGGTGCCCAGCATCTTGTGAGTTCTCCTTTTGTCATCGGGACATCACTCGTAGGCATGCACCATTTGGCTCCTCCTCTGTTTTACGAGTGTCGTGGACCCGAAATACGGAAGCGGAGCTTTGCTGGAGAGTGCCTAGCGTCTGGGTCACATCCGCGTGTGCGGCAAAGATTTGCACTTTTGTTGGGCATGCACAGTGTGTGGGGAGGGTTTGGTGGCAGCCCCCACGACTGAAGCTGCACATTGCCGCACCCTGCGGTGCAGGTACCACTACTTCCCCAACCGGGCAGGAGGCACCAGCGGGTTTGGGCAGGCACCCACACCCCGGAGAGAAGGAGCAGACGACCGGGCCGGCGGCTGGCACAACTGGGGCAGGGGCCGGGTCCTGCAGAACTGAGGCTTGCCCAAGCACAGATGCCCTCCGAGGCCTGCTTTCTTCTCCCAGGCTCTCCGCAGGGGGTGGCATGTCGGCCACCCAACGCGCGGTCGGCCGTTTCTTGTCATTCCTTGTTTCCTTTCACTTTGAAGCCTCTCGGGCAGTGGCTGAAGGGGGCCGGCCAGGAACGATTGGGCCCGTGCGTGCTGCGGGAGATGTTTGGCACGCCCGGCGGAGCGCCTCTCTGTACATAATGCAAAGGATGGCACGCGAGTCGTTGGTCGCTCTTGTGGAGTCGAATGCCTCCCATTCTGGAGAGATGGCCTTGGCCATTTGTTCCAGCGCTCACATCGTTTTTGTACTAGAGAAAAGCCCCCCCTTCTCTGAACGTGCCTACAGCAGGCGTATTTACGTTGTCCGGCATTCTCACAAATTGGCCGAGAATTTTTTGTTTTGTGTTTTGAGGATTAGCAATTTTTTTAGGCTTGTTTTGGCTACGTCTTGCGGGACGGTATTGTGGATTTGTTTTCATTCCATCTTTTTCACATTTCAGTGCAAGTTTGGTGTGTTGATTGTTAAGAGCTTCAATTTAGCGCAAATCATCCCTATAGCTACGGTTCTCATTTTGAAATGAGTGCTTGAAATAAAAATGCCTCTGTTCTTCCCTGTCGATTGTTGAGCGGGTGAGCTATGCATTTTGCATCGAGATGGACAATGTGTTCGGGTGACTGCTTTCTAGAATCGCTGGTGTGGTCAGTTGGGGAAGGGGGAGGGGTGGCGTCAGCAGGTGCCCAGGGCCCATTGCCGAAGCTGTGCCAGGTGGTCCCACTGCTCGAGACTGCCGCTGAAGATGCTCTTCGTCTGGGCCACTCTTCTTTTTCTTTCCGTTCAACTCCAAGAGCAATGCCTTCTATTGGATTAAGACTTTGGTTTGAGTTAGTTCGTTCACGGTAATTTAAAAGGTTCAAAGCGCGAAACGAGGACGAAGAAAACTCGCACGGCACAAACGGGCGCCAACTTGCTACTGATATTTTATCCGTCAAACCAGCACACGTGCGTGAACAAAGTTGCCCACTCATGCCTCCACTTCAAATTAAAAACTACAGAATTCTACGATTGTCCCTGGCAACTTTTGTTTGTGCATCTGTGCTGGTTTGACCAACTGGGATAAAATGTCAGTTACTAGTTAGTGTCTGTCTGTGTCGTCTGTTTTCTTCGTCCTTGTTTTGTGCTTTTAAGCCTTCTATTGGCGTTGGCAGCCATACAGTGGGAGCTACAAATGCAGCCCACCTACAAGCAGCCGAGTTGATAACCAGAGCCCCCCTGAAGATGTATTTGCACGAGAACCGAGTACGTTGTGGAGCTGCCAGGAGGAGACGCATTTTGAAGGCAGTCGAGAACATTGGGCATTTCCATGGTGGAGTGGCGTGTAGTAGGGTCGGCAGAGCCTTCCTTTCGTCAACATGTTTGCACCTTCAGAGCACAGGGAAAATGTCTCCCGACAGCTCAATGTTGCCCACCGCAATCCTTCCCCAAACTGAACCAGTCGCTCGGACAGTATGACGGGCATTCTGCAAGCCAGTTGCAGATTCTCCGCAGCATCCCACGAGCTCGGGGGGGATCGGTAAACATTCGTGACATGGCGCACGCAAATTCAAAACGCAGCAACGTTTAATCGTAGGAGAAAAACTCCGTCCTGCGAATACACCATTACTCGCAGGCTATCCGCAGGTGACTGCAGTGGAACCGGTGGATCAGGGTAGAACTTCTACAGATCTGTGCTTGTAGCGGATCAGGTGTGGTTTGCCACAATCGCAGGTTGGTTAGTCTCCACAGAGAACGGAAAGACCACATTCTGTGATCTAGGTAATTCCTGCCTTAAAAAAACCAATAAAGATTTTTTTAAAGGAACACCTTTTTAACATTAAATATTTTCCTCAATAAATTTTTGTTTTGCAATGTGTATCAATTTGGGTGGAGTTCACCACCCGTTCTAGGCCCTACCCACAGAACAGCAGTCTTGCCCATTACTACTGGCTCGACTGCTCGGCTGACAACGTTTACAAACCTGATGTCGCCCCCTCATGAAGTCCAGTGCAATCGATACCCTGACAGAGTCTGCTAGTTGTGCGGGCAGATGCATGGTAGCGTGCAGCATAGTCTGGTAGAACATGCTGGCATTTGATTTACGCAACCGGAAGTACATTGCACTGCACTTTTCTGCACCAGTGCAGGCTGCTGCAGGTAAATCAAATGAGCCTACTTTACTACCACCTGGAACGGCCATGAAAGCGGCGCGCCCACCATCGCTTGCATCGGTGGGCTATTCTGCCCCAGTCTGCAACGCTCGCAAGACATGACCGTGAAAGAGATTCTAGCATTCCACTGTTTAATACAAGCGTCTATCGACGTGCGGTAAAAAGTGAGTGACCTAGCAAGAATTGATAAAATAGATGTGCAGTCCCTTCAGCTTTTCTTGTTTTCGTGCACAGTGTACGCGAGCAAGGTGGCTGAGTTTCGTGACTCACAATTAAAGCCCAACCTAAAATTGTTCGCTCTCGCAAGCCACTGTTCCAAACTGGAGAACTAAGGGCCTTTCGAAGCGAAATGTCTGGAACATACCTGGACAAACTTGATGTGAGGCAAACCCCCCCCCCGATTTCTTCTAGCCAAATGGCTTGCAAATTCTTAACTGTGTAGGTGACCTCTCGTACTGAAGCCATGGTCGCAATCGCGACGGTGGCATGATTTTTGGAGTAGTGGGGCCGCTTTTACGGGAACCGACACATTGATTTGGCATCAAAATGGGCAAATGGACAAATCGAGCAAACCGTTTGATATGGGGCACTAGGCTTGCGCCAGTCCCACTATGAAATCGAGCACCCGCACAGTGCTTCCAAAGGCGTGTACTTGTGACAATCGTTTTCTGTAAGCTATGATGGTTGAGATCTTCCTCCGAATATGCCGGTGAAAGCGAAACAATTTGCACTCGTAAAAATGGACAAACTCGACACGTGGTGTGAGAAACTGCTTTATCGTTTGAAACCGAAGTGGAAAAGACAATCTCGTGACATTTTTGAAAGCAATAATGACTATCTATGTAGTTTGTTTCTCAAACATAAAAATATGTCTAAAACTACTGCAGGACGGAGAAGCAATTTTACAACGACCATTCCACATGTCAATCGTCTCTCCAACCAATGCGAGCTGAGAAAGGAGCATAGCTATACTCGGGGACGTTTCTTGGCAATGCAGTCAAAAGTACTGGTGCGCGCCCCCTTCCATTTTGAGAGTGAATTAAAGCTATGAGCGCACACTCCTCTTCCAGAAATGCCAAGAAAAGTTCTGCGAGTATAGCTACGCTCCCATTGTTATGACCAGGGATCGGAGCAGGGCTACTTCTACCTAAATTACGTAAATATTGCAATTGCATGTTTCATCTCGGTTTTATCTGCTGTGCATGTCCATAAAACACGTGCACGCTTTTTAAAAAACTTTAACCTTTCGGCGCGCATACGTTTCCGGTGAGGACGGGAACCACGCAAACAGCACGGCTTTCCTCCTCTATGTCGTCGTCTTTTTTTTTTTGGGAGGTTGGGGACAGACAAGAACAGCGGAGGTGTCAATGACAGCCGGCAGAGTGTGTGAGGGGCCACATCCTAAGCACGCTCCGAGGCTGTCCAAGCACGCTGGCCCTCGGGCAAGAAGCGTCCCAAAGCGGAACCTGCATCCACCAAACGCACAGCCGAAAGCGTGTGCCGCATGGACAGCCCTTTACAAGATACTTCTGGCCCACACGCCGCCGTTTCTAAGCTCAGTATTGGCGGTTTCATGCAATGTAAATCCACAAAATAGGCGTTGGGAGGTTAACTTTGCACACGTGCACCCAAAGGGCCGTTCAAACTGATAACCAATATGGTGTAATCCGACAAGGGACAAAAATTGGGTCAAGAAATTGCATCTTTGACCCAAATGATGAGGGTCATCTCCCACCCGAAAAAACTGCTCGCAAACGCGTTGCACCCTACTCTCTTCCAAATGTTTTTGCACCTATGGGCTTTTCCTTGCAGGGACCTACTGTACTCTTTGGGTTATTTGATGGCACTACGGCAGCAACTGCTACCACTAGGCCAAACTAAATACAGTCCCCGCGGGAGTTAATAGCTCTACGCGAGTGCGCGTTTTTTACCGAGGGGCGCTTGACTGGTGGCTTGCGATAGAACTAGAGATGACGTAAGGGCGAGTCCATGCGGAGTGGACGGGGGAAGCCGTCTCAATTCAAGGGAACTGGTGTTATCATCTGCCTCCTGCGGGTGAACATAGTTCCAATGAAAAGGGGAGATTACTCGGCAGAAGTCAAGATCGCTGGGCACGAATGAGATGACTGCTTGGAAAGAGAAGGAAACACGTCGCATTTTCTAACTTCTGCAGAATCATCTCCCATTTTCATTCAAACAACGTTCACCCGCAGGCAAATGATAACGGTTCCCTTGAATTGAGCGGCTTCCCCCGTCCACTTCGCATGGACTCGCCCTAACGTCATCTCTAGTTCTATCGCAAGCCACCAGTCAAGTGCCCCTCGTAAATAAATGCGCACTCGCGTGGAGATATTAACTCCTGCGGCGACTGTACATTAAAGAAGATTGGTGAAAGTGCACCATGACTGAATAAAGGACATTCCAATAAAATGAGCAGCTGTTCCCCTAGGGATGGGATGAAAAGAAATGAGCCAGTTGAAAACCACTTTGGGCCTAGAGTTGTTGATTAGGGACTTTATGGCGCAAAGCTACTATGGCCATACTGTGCCAAGCTTGTTTAGTTGGGAAATACTCGAGACTTTTTAATACGAATTATATCTAAAAAAGGGTCATGTTTTGGGCCTAGAGGTCCAGCATGGAAGAAAATCTTGAACCCTCGTTCAAAGAATTGCTGCACAGTTGTCCACAGGGGGGAAAAGGTGAGCCTTCTGCAGGTTCAGCGTAGCTGAGGTGCTGTAGAGGATTTATTGAACGGAATCGGACGACGTGATGAGTGCTTGTGGGGCAGCTGCAAATCCACGTGGTAGAAACACTGCAGCGAGACTCGTGAAACCTGGTGTTGTCGGCGGTGCACATTATGTGCCAGGCTAGACGGATGTCTCGTCCGAGTCCAGGTAGCCCGTCTTGCCAGCTCGATGCACTCCCACGACTGGCGTCTGTCACACTTTGGCCTTGGCCTGGACAGGGAGGTACAACTTGAACTCTGCAGGCAGCTCGTCCTCCGAGTAGAGCCGGTCTGCAAAGTAAACTCTGCGGATGCGGCAGTTGGCGTGGATCTGCAACCGGAGAGATGGCGCTGAATAACTCCCCTGCTTGAGAAGAGTGCTGTGCGTTGGAACACATGCGAGAGCTAGGTGCGGAATTCTTTGGATTGTTCCGTTACGACCATACACACTTTCGCACACAATAAAGACCAAGAACCAGAGGCTTGCTGCTATTACGTTTTGAGTGAGTAGGAATCTTCCAAGATGGAATATTTTGCACCAGAGGGGCTTGGAAATTGCGTCCAAGAGGCTAGCCGCTGGCATCTCTGCATTGGTCCACATCAAAGCCAAGCAAGCTCAACTTTCTCCAACAGACGTCTGCACCCTGGGCTCCAGCACCGTTCGCACTCGTCAGGAAGTGCGAGTGCCAGTTTGTACCAAATGCTCCAAGTGGAATCCAGGCAGCTGCCAATATCTTTTTTCTCGCCCTAGCTCGGCGTGCCTTTTTATGTGCCTACTTTTGCTTTCTGAGTTTGCAAGATTGCAACGGTACCACAAATCACACGCGCCCAAGTCCTCCTCTCTCTCTATTCTACTCTATTGTAGTCGTCTGCTCTCGATTTGATATGCTATGGTCGTGTTCGTGTAAACATAGATTATACTCAGTGGGGGCTTCTGAATGGCTTCTGAATGGGTCGGGGGGGTTTGTGACCATAAAAAGTTTGGGAACCGCCGCCTTGATGCGCATGAGGTATAATTCGAGAAAAAAAAAAAAAAACATTCCCGCAACTTCAGCCCTTGCAAAGCTAGAGATAAATGCTGCGCTTACGGGTGCACCGCCTTATAAACAAGTCGCTGAGTAGTTGCAATAATACTTAAAAAACAAGCGAGCTGGTGTTCGTCCCCTTCTGTGTTCCTGAGTCTCGGGTTTTATTACCATGAATTGCTGAGTAGTGCTCTCGATGCATTGAAAAAAAAAAAAATACAGTCGCAGACCCACTGGCCTTAATTGTGACCTCTTGTGATATCTTGCAATGAGAGGGCACACTGGCACCTATTAGGTGGCCCTGCACTTCACTAGAGCAAAGGTTGGGCAGTATTGGCAAGATCCAATGTACATACTATTTCTGACACTATCTAAAGTTTTTCGAGCCAAGGAAAGAATTATGCCCCCCAAAACGAAAGAAAACATGGGAATCATCAGTGTCTTCTCTCGTAACAGGTCCCAAGAGGTCACTCGATCATAAGCGGTGGAAAGTGTGTGAACCAGCCTTAAGGCTAGGGACCTGAAACACCTAAATTTGTGCACAAGACAGGCAACATCAAGCTGCGTGACTCGAGCTGTTTCAACGAGATGCCCCCCCCCCCCCCCCCATCTGGGTCAAAACACCTACATTCACCTGGAAGCTGGTTCATACACGTGTTAGACTGGGCTGCACTGCCCTGTGCACACCCCGAGTGCACCGACTGCCCGTGCACCTGAACTCGGAGGGTCTCCACGTAGTTGGTGCCGTAGGCACGGCGAGTGAAGTCGCTCAGGTTGAACTGGATCTGGTTCCAGCCCTCGTCGAGCCGCATGGGCATGGTGCAGATGAAGGGCTTCACTCGGGTGGTGCTCTGGAAGTTGCTCGCACGGAAACGGCGACGCACGTTCTTGTCGTCCAGGATCTAGAAGGAGTCGTGCCATGATCAACCACAACCCATTAACGGGACTTGCCTCGAAGCTTGTGCAAAGGCATGCTTCTCTTTCCTATGGACGGGAGTGCCGTCTGGCTCCAACTGACCACCAACGTAAGCAGGTGCCAATTCATGTGGCCTTGCGTTGGAGGACACAGCTATTCAATAAAGACCTTTAGAACTTCAAAATTTCAAACCCTAGAAACCCCATACAAGTGGCATAGCCGGAAATTTCTATCGTGTTTACTGCGGTGGTAAGGTTGGAGGAGTGGGAGAAGAAAGAAAATATTTTTTTTCTATTATACCTACACTAAAAACAAGCATACACAAGACTGCACATCTGACTGCTGAGCGTGTCATAGGAATGTCATGCCTAATTTTTGTTCTAAATTAAATTATTTGATGAGGTAGCACAACATGTCCACACAACAAAATGGACCTTACTTTTGTAAAAAAAAACTTCCTTTAAGGGGGCACACCCCCTAGGGGGGTCAACTTTTGAACCCTTGTCTTAAAATTAATGAAATTTACAGGGTAGGCTGGTGGTCATGCTAGAGGGTGTATAACAGAATTTCAGGTCTGTCGGTTAAAAGAGAAGGAAATAAGAGTAACTTTTATCAGCAATACGCCTGCGTTGTTTAGTTAATCTATCGTCAGAAAACTATTGCGATATTAAAGATTTTTATTTGCTAGATATGTAGCAGAATGCCTAGAGGGTGCGGCTATGGAACATTTTTTCTAAAAAGCAATCCATTTTTATAAATTTTCTCTTCTGCAAAATTGGTCAACTTTTTTGTCTTCTGTGCCTTCGACAAAATGCCAACATTTTTTACAAAAGACATCCGTAAAGTGACAAAAAAGTTCCATAGCCGCACTCCTTATTAAATTTCAGTCAGGAAAAGGGAAGAATGAGCTTTTCTTGTTTTGCCATTATCAAACGATAGATTGACTAAAATGGAATTTATACCAAAAAGTGGGACGGAGAAAAAGGTGTTCAAAGTGTTCCAAACCCTACCTTTTCTATAGCTTTGGTGGACAGAAAATAATTTATAAAAAATTAACTATACAGTGAAAATTAATGAAACTTTTTGGGAATACTCTCTAGATGTTGGTGGATGTAAAGATGCCATTTTTCAAAATCAACTTTTTTTGCAGAAATTTTTTTTTCTGGGCAGTGTCTCCCCTTAAGTAGAAAAAACATTGCATCTGAGGGTCGGTGGAGCGATTTTCTCAATGCGCATACATGCTAATTTAAGGGCCACAGGAATAAAAAATACAACTTTTAACAACATCGATTTTTTTTATGTATAAAGCACGTCTACATGATATAGTCCAATTTATTCTATTTGAGTTTATATTTCAAGTAAAATAAAATGGCAAACTTAGCCTCTTGCACAACCCTTTCACATTTAGGCATTTTTCAGCAATTTTTTAACACATCATACACTTAAGTTCTTAAGCTGAAACTTTTTGTAGATTATTTCAAGCTTTGGTTTACTTTTAACAAAAAGTTAGTGTTCAACTATTGGGAGTGTTTATTGCATTGTGCCCACAAGTATTTTTTCTAAATACTGAAAAAATCAAAATTATGCAATTTTCGAGCGGCAAATGAAAATATCTAAATTTTCTCCAAACTTCCCTCAATGAAGCCTTGAAAACTGGTAATTCAAAATCTGCAGAAACACGTTGCATTCTATTGTTTTGGATTAAAAAAAAGCAGAATTGAAAACGACCACACCAAGTGTGCTGCGATTGATAGTGGTAGCTGCTGCATTGTAGAAGGGCATCTTGAAGGAGACGGGCCCCCAACCAGCGTGCTGGACAATGTTTGCCATGGGTTCTTTGCTTTCAGTGGAATTGATGGAGGAGAAGTGTACTTTGGGGGAAAGATAATGCGAGATGTTGCATGTGTTGGAAAAAAACACAGAGATGTGCTTTTATTTTGGCTGAAACAGTCTTTCAGAACGGGGGTGCCTGCACTTGCAGTGGAAGAAGCAAAAGTATGTACGCGAGCTGTTTGTAGAGACGTGGAGAGTACACGAGAACGGAACTGGGGCGGCGGCAGTCGGGAGGTGAGGGAGCGTGTCTGCATGGCCCGACCACGTGAATATTTCGCAGCGGCCGGAGGGGTGGGTGGGGGAGGGAGAGCGTCGCCGGAGCAAGAACAGCGGCAGCCTACGGGGGGGAAGGGAGGGGGGGCGAGCCTTGCCACGCGTGAGGAATTACGGGGAGAGCAGTGTTTCTGCTGTAGAGTGGGCTTTTGCATTCGTACATGAACATTTTTATCCAGGAAGGGGCACTAACAGCTACCGCTGTAAAGCATTTAGCCAGGTCTATGTTGCAGTCAATTACCGTTGGAGGGTTTCTGTCTCAACCACTAGTGGTACTCGAGCACCGTATCCACAGTGGTCGTACTTGGTCGCATTAGCAATACAAAGAACCTGCAAGCTTTTTTTTTTTTATCAGTGGTGTGGCTGACATTGGCTATGAAAAGTGAATTTTGCAGCACGTTCGGCCCTAAGGGCGTTGCACTTGGTTGACAAAAATTGGTTGGGGCATAAAATTCCAAGTGGAAAGCTAGGCAGCATCATTTGACCAGTGTTGTGCCATTACGCAAGTGATGCCTCTGGTGTTTGTAACACCACTGCACATCGGGTAACGTTTGCACCATGCAGTGGAAGGTTCTGTGCAGGCTCAAAAAAGGGGCTGCATCTCCTTCCTCAATCATAAATGCCGCACGGGGATTAAGCTAAAGTAACTTAGGTGATGGAAATTTCTAAAAAGATGTTTTTAATCATTGTCACAAAATTTTGGTATCAATCACATGTTGTATACCATTTCTGAAAGTTCGCAGACAATCACTCAAGGTTTGAAATTTTCTATAGGTCACATATTTACACAACAACTAATATTATTTAAGGAAACTGACCCATGACCCAGACGTTGTTTCTCAAAACTAATCAACTTCTTCTAACTGCAAATTTTAGAATAACATACCCAAATTTCCGCGTGTGCAAAGAAACAGCGTTGTCACGACCTTTGAGAGGGGCGCAGAGGTGCAATGTCACTCGATATATGCTGAATTGGCCGAGATAGCTCCTGACATCCATTACAATCCGTTCTAATTGGAAACAGAGTATAGTGATGTCTAGATAAATTAATCGAATCATTCTGTAAGCAGAATACCCACACTAAATAAAGTACTACCCTGGGAAAGTGGCACAGTGCAGCGCAATCAACCAAGCACAACACCCTAAGGACCGAAAGTGCCACAAAGCTCAGTTTTCAAAGGCAGACCGCATCACTAATAAAAAAAAGCTTGCAGGTTTTTTGTATAATGCTCTCTGGTGTCTGGCAGATAATGCAACCAAGTATGGCCACTGTGGACGCGGTGCTCGAGTACCGCTAGCGGCGATGGAAGCGGCATTCAACCTTTTGTAGCGGGTTCTGTAGCAGGCAAAATATTGGCTTGAAGTAGCCACTGATGCTTTTGAAGCAGATGCCAACATCTGTTAGCACATCACTTGAAAATGAAAAAGTGATTGCATCGCTAAAGGAGCTCATCTTTGATAATTACTAAGGGTTCTTTTTTTGATACTGGAGCCTTTCGCTAAGTAGTACACGCAAAGCATGCTGGCAACCCTGAGATAAGCTAGCTGGTTTGCTACTATAGTCGGTGACAGGTCAAAAACGAAGTGGAAGCTCCTCCCACCTCTTTCCACTTCAGCGGAGCGAACAGTGGAGGGGAGGTTGCCTCCTCTCCAGCATTCGCACTACTAAGTGGAAAGAGGTGGAAGGAGCTTCCACTTCGTTCTTGACCTGTCACCGACTATAGTGCACATTCCTTGTCCCCGTTTCCTTGTATGCACATGTCTCGGCCAGTTTGGCAGGAGGCTGAGAAAACCGCAAGAATCCCATAATTCCGGGGTGTTCACTGGTGGCGCTAACAAAAAGGCCCATTTCTATTGCGTCCTAGGGGCTTCTCCTCCAACAGTATCTCCTTTGCTTCTGCCACACCTTCTCTTGTTGGCAGAGAATGGATATGCCAACACCTGTTTTGTGCTCCCCATGTCGTAGAAACCTTTCCAATTCTACATTTCATCCCCATCGGGCTTCTAGTATGTATAATACAAGACCAGCCCTCCCTGGGGCATTTTTGTATGCCTCGGGCCAGTGCATTCCATGTGAGCATCAGAGTGCCCTCGCGAACCGTGATGCAATGCTCGTGTCCCCACATGCGGTGGAGGGACTGCACTGCCTTTTCGGCCGCCAGCTGATTGGTTGGTTGCTGTGGTGCCACCAGAGCACGTTCCGGAACTGAACCAAAGTCATCTCTTGCGGACCTCATTATTTCTTAATGGCCTCCCCCCTCAACAAATCAAGGCTGGCTTGGCTTTCTCACCCCACCAAATGTTTGCTTTGCATTTCCACTTTTCTTTTCTCGGTTACTCTGGATTGACTGAACACACTTTGGCTTGTTGGCTTCACATGGGCAGATTCTGGAGAAGGCTGCTTATGAGCGAATCTGTAACGCATGGTCCGGGGCACGCAGTTAGCAGTGTCCTACTAGCTAAAGCCCAAAGCTCTCAAGGAATGTATGCGGCATGAGACGGCTGTAGGACCGTTCGTCGAATAACAATTCGTCAGACGTCAAGTGGTAGCAGGGCTATTCGTCACATAGGGAAATTCGTCACTACGGCAATTCATCAAACTATTAACATATATTTCTTACTTTTGAAGCATTTCTGATGTTTACCGAGCATAGTTCTTCCAGGTGAGTACAATTGCCAGTGACCCCCTTCCTTGATTTAATTATATTTTTCTCGACACAAGAAATCAGACTTTTACTAATTTCTAAAAGACAATGCCTAATTATGCTTTGTCCACCAGAATCTTGGCACCTCTCCCTCAATACTGGAAAATATAAAAAAAATGTTTCGGTCGCGCACGTGTACAAGAAGCGCTCCCGAGTTTTATATTCTATGTTTCCAAGGTGACCTAAAATATTTACCCACCTCAAAAGAAACAAGACTGAACTTTCTTAAGAGGACACTACACAGAAGCTGAATAACAAAAGCGACCGAACGTTACTAGTACGCGGGCAACAAGATCTTCAAACATAATCTCCGGATTTTCGACGAGTGGTCCCAGTGACGAATAATAGTGCCCCTGCTACGAGTTGTCGTATTACGAATTGTCTTTCGACGAACTTGATTGCGCGTAGGACGTACCTGAACTTCGAAGGTGAAGTATTTCTTCATGTTCTTGACGATCATGATGAGGTAAGGCAGCCGAATTCCTAGCGTCTTTCTCGGATCGGCCGGGCATGTAATGAACGTAGTGCTGCAATGGAAATCGAAGCGTTATTCCGATATGCTCAGCTGAGACGCTTCCACAGTTAGTCATGCGAAGCAATCACTAGAAACATCTTGGACCGCAAACCTGACGTTCGTGCCCAGAATCTCGAGTACGAAAGACTGAATGTCATTATCCGTAATGCGCTTGATGTGGCCGTTCCTGACCTAAGGAAACAATAGGAACAGTTGTACCACCTCTTTTTTTTTTTTTTTCGCTTAATTTAAACGGAAATCAAGAAGAAAAGTCACCTTTTTGTCCCATATTTGCAATGGTTTGCTTCCGATGCTATACAAAATAGAGAGGAAGCCGCTCTGAAACGTGTTCTTAAACATTTTCGTCACTCTTTGAGCTTCTAGGTAGCTCGCTCTTTGGTAGTTGTATTTGATAGCGTGCTTGGAAAGCTCACGTTACATTGAAGACGCAAATATACAGTCAACTGTAGGCGATCCTGGCGATGTCGTACGCGTCATAGCAGGAAAAGATTTGATGTTGGCACATGGACGCTACGGAAACCTAGCAACCAACCGCAACCAACAAACATGCAGGGGGAGGGGGGGGGAAGGGGCGCATGATATTTCGCTGCGTATGAAGCAGCGAAAAAGTGGTCCCTCGATTTCCGCCTGATGACGTCATAAAAGTGTCATGTTGTCGGCAGTCGCGATCCTAGCGGCGTTTCAACAGCTGTAGAATGTGTGTGGCAGACGCCTGTTCTGCTGCAGGTCAATCTCTAGTGTGGCAGTCCACGGAAGTTAACGCAGCCAGAAGTTGGAACGCCATACAGCGACACTTGCGTTCGGTGGTGCTACTCGCAACTTTTTGGTTAGCATTTTTACAACCAACCGCCAGGTTCGCAACATGCAACATGACACTTCGATTGCTGTGACGTTATTTGTTGCCACTTCGGGATAACTTTTGTTTCATGGACAGTGTAAGCAGCATAGGCCGCTACACACCAGTACTATTTCGACGTCCACTTCAAAATCATTTTTATTTGATTTTGACGTCTGTGACGCCACCACCACCAGAGCTCTGACCACCACAGGACTCCAACGCCACCAACCAGCCACCACGCGACCACGCCGATCACGCCTCTTCCCGAAAATGACTGGCGGTGTGCCGGTGTGCCTTCGACAGCCGTGGACTTCAGAATTGAACCATTTTTATTATATTAAGGAGCCAGAGGTGACTCTTTCAGAGTACACGCCTTGATCTAAAAGGGTCTTGGTTCACCTGACGTATAACAAACCTGTTCGGGCGGCTGTTTACTTCTGCACGCCGCTGTTATTTGTGCATTCGCGTGGTCACGACTCAAAATATGTCACCCGTAGTTGTCACCGCACCGCGCTACACCGGGGCTCGCCGCTAGCTAGCTAGTAATTTTTCCTTCGTCCAAGCGTATCGAAACCGGGAGGCAGCAGCGCGCCTTCGATGCGTTCGAAACGTCGCCGTCGACGGTAATGTTGCCTCGTCAACTGTCAAGACCGGGAAGGTATTAACCCCGGAGTGAACTTCTACAGATTCCCATCAAAACTGTGCTAAGTCGAGCGGAGGGAACGATACTAGCCGCCCAGCACGCTGCTTTTCTCGCCTTCGAGGTTCTTTCTGCAAAGGCATTGAAACGTGCGTGGAATACTCCATAATTTTCTATACAAGATATACCTTTTTCGAGGAAAAGTTACGTCTACTGTGCGAATAATTATAAGCAATAGAAAATAACTGCCTACCAGAAGTTTCAAAGGGCAATCGGATAGACGTTAGACAGCATCATTCAGTTTGAAAACAAGAAGGGGGGATACTGATGCCTGCCAAGACCTGGAAATTGCACCTCATATGGAGGAAACTTATCTGGAAACCAACCATTTGGAGAAAATGTTGCCAATGCAGTGGAAGTCTTGAATCGTGCTGCGGCTTCAGCCATCAGGCTGTTAGTACAGATCGGACCACGTGAGGCCCTGACAACAGCTTGGTTCTTGGGGATGTTAGACTGCTGGTTTACATTGATCACATCCAGGAGCTTCAATGTCGCCATGAGTGGTGCGAAGGAAAATGATCATGAAGATGCAGTGACATTCCTTAGGATGTTCATGAGTATGTTTAGACGGCTGTCCATTCGAGCACCAGGTCAGAATGTTTGTTTCAAAGCTGTGCAGGCAGAAGTTGTTATTTCAACTCGGAGTGCCTTAGTGTTGCAGGAGAAGGTCTTGTCATAGCATGGCTTTAGATTCGTGCTTCTGAGCCGCGCCAGCCAAGACGCTTTTGAGAACTTGTTTTCGTTTGCCCGAAGCAAGCATCCAGTTCCTTGACCACTGGAGTTTAGTTAGCACTGCGATTGATTGCTATGTTAGAGTTCTTCTCTCCTAGTCGTTGTGGTAACTACATTATTGATGATAGCATTGACCGTACAGAATTTTTACAGTCCTTGCCAGTGCCCATGCAGGAGGAGCAAGTCTTTGACCCTCACTTCTTGCCAGAAGTAGCGTTTAGATGACTTGCCTTGCTGACTACACCTCGCGAGCCATTGTGAGAAAACAAGCTGTGCAAAGAGTGGGCTTCATTCTTGGAAGAAGCACCCGCAACGTCAAACACTACAACCCGCCTCTCACACCTGCTCCCGATGTGCTTGGACTTCTGCAGCATGCAGAGAACACATTCAGAGGGAACGAAAAAAAGATCCTAAAAGCATCAGCATTGACAAGCTGACCACTATGGCGTTTGCCACATACCTTGGGAAGCCATTGCCGCCCTTCCATGGCCTGGCAAAGAAGCTTGTACACATGTTCCTTTTGATGAGGCTCCGCTTTTATCTGCGGAAACTCAACCTGTCTGCATGCAAAAAGTCTTGCGCAAAATGCGCTAATTGCAGCTTGACAATGAGAGTTCTAGCATATAATATGAAGTGATCTGTGTGAGGTAGCGACATGTTTGTCTGTACATGGCAAAATATGCACAAGCTTGTACACCCATCATCGATATGAAGGTGAACACAATCGTCGATCACTCCATGCTATCAGCGCCATGACATGGCGGCCGTGGAGGCTTGCTAGTCTTATCGTGCACTTCACCTTCATTGAACGCTGTTCTCAGCTCTGCTGCTACTCTCTGCATAAAGGGGGAGGAGCCTTTCAGACGTTATCAGGGAGCACTGCCTGCAGTGACTCGATGACATGGGCTTCCACGCTTTTTGCAGGGGGGTAGCAGTAGAACCAAGAACAGCATTTGGGCGAAGCACTTAATCTCGGCAAACCGTGTGATCAGACATGCAAGCCACCATGGAGCGGTCGATGGTCCAGCATTCAGTTTCATATGGATGACGGGTGTATATCCGTTTCATTTGATGAGGCTCCACTTTTATCCAAGGTAGCTCGATCTGTCTGCATGCAAAAAGGCAGCCTAGAAACGCAGGAGTTGCAGTGAGAGTTTTAGCAGGAAATGTGAGGTGGGGGGGGGGGGGGGGGGGGGACCTTTGCAGACTGAACACGTTTATTTGTATGTGATGTGGCCTCCTCATGGAAATAGTTTTTGTATTGCAGCATTACTTATTTCTCCTGTTTACTTGTGACATATCTAGAGAAGCCATTGTCAGCTTGCCATGACCTGATGCATATGCTTGTACATATGTTTCATTTGGTGAGGTTCTACTTTTATTTAAGGGGCCCTGCAAGGACTTTTTTACTGGTTTTTAATTTTCACCGAACCTGAGCGCACTGAACGTAGTAACATAATGAAACTTTTCTTTTCTCGGATTTCGCTTTATTTTAAAAGTTATCGGCAAATTAAAATTTAAAAAAAAACAAGCAAAAAATAACCTCCTTCATGATGTCCTTGGTTGCTTGAGTGGCCGTGAACTAGAGGGGTAGTGAGCTCAGCGAGCGCTCACGGCCGCCGTACTTTGTGTGACGGCTTGAGAGGGCGCCACTAAAGTATGTTCTGGATAGGCTGTATGAAGCGGCCAGGGCGGCTTCCATTTCATTTGCTGCGGGATTAAACACTGATTCGGCATGACACTTCATTGGCCACAAACGACAGCAAACATGGGCTAAAGATCAGTTCAGAACGGGAGCCATTTCGCGCTGCCATACTTCCAAAGGGCCAAACCGCAAGCCAAAGCTGCTCGCCGAAGGCCTTTGGAACGCTCGGAACCGGTCAAATCCTCGACTGCAGCACCGCCGCATACATGCGGGACCTTTCTACGCTCGCCGCTCGTCAGCGCCTGATCCCACTACACCTTTCTAGTATGCGCCGCCTTTTCCACCGCTTGGTGGCGGCAGAGCCGTTTATACTGAGAGAGTTTGGCCGATGGGCGGAGCTTGTTGGCCGCTAGAACAAGCGGATTTCGCGATAACACAATATGGCGTTACTTCTTTGTCTTGTTCATTCCTGAGAAATCGCGTAGAGTTCCTATGAGTCAGAGCCACAATATGGCGGACGGAAGTAGTCATCTCCCGGTTGTCAGACTACGCTGCTGTGGTTGTCAGACTGTCAAAATCTTCTTAAGAAGGCCGAACTCTCTCAGTATAAACGGCTCTGGGTGGCGGGTATGCCAACGGGTCATTTCTTGTTTCCATACTTTATAAACTGCATTTGTTTCTTTTCTGATCTAAAATGCTGAACAAAAACTACTTTTATAAATAATTGAAACGGCTCGCGCCACTTATATTTTGTATTTCGACTAAAAGGAAGCTTTTAGCGGCTCTGACCAGTAGTAAGCCCAGGACCAAAGACGTCACATTTCGCGCGCTTTCGGCAACGCGGGTCGTCCCCGTAGGTGGAGGAAGTTTTCGTGTCGTCCGGTTAAAATATGACGCACTGATATTTAGTTACTCTCTCCATGCCCGCTGGCTTGCCCGAACCCCAAGAGACGTGGAAACCGCAAAAAAGGTAGACGCTTAAATATGATTGCAGGGCCCCTTTGAAAACGCTCATTATGTCCGCATGCAAAAAGGCAGGCTCGAAAGGTGGGAGTTGCGGTGTCGCAGTGAGTTTTAGCAGAGAATGTGAGGTAACCTTTGCAGACTATCAACATGTTTATTTGCATCATGTGGCCTCGTTGAAATGTTTTTTTTATATTGCAGCATTAATTTCTTTCCTGTTTGCTTGTAACATATATAGGGAAGCCATTGTCATCCTGCCATGCACATGCTTGTACATGTGTTCATTTGATTTGAGGCTCGGCTTTTATTTACACACCTGGAGTGCTGGAGCTGCAATGTCGGAGTGGGAAGTTTAGCGGAAAATGTGAAGTGATCTTTGAACTATTGATGTGTTCATCTCTACCTGACATGACGGCCTTTCTGAAACGATTTTTATTGTATTAAAGCATTTACTTTTTACCTTTTTGTTGAAATTCGAATGTCCAATATGCCGAAACTGAGATCGCGAGTGCCATCTGGCTGAAACATTTCATACTTGTTGCACAATTCAGAAGATAGGAGTATAAACTTGGTGTAAGCAAAAAGTACATATATTTACAAGCAAACAGTCTGTATGTACTTCTTTGTGCTCTCTTGTCCTGAACATCTTGTGCGCACAAGTCAGAAAACAATTTAAATGTTTTGTTTATGCGATGCCTCCTGCCTGAGTGAAGTGTGACCACGGCACACCATACTTTAAATACGTGGACACAAAAAGCGGAAAAAGTCTGCTCCTGAATCCGCAGAAATGTCTAAATTGCGGTCGCGCGCGTGAAAGTACGATCGCTATAAATCTTTTTCAGCTTGTGTAGTTTCATAAACATTCGGTAGCTTGCATTCTTAGGAAGACTATCCACAGTGCCACGAAACCCATTCAGCATTATTTTTACTGTCGCGACAATCTTGCAGGCTGTCTGTCTACAGGGCCGCCCACACTAGCGAGAAAACGCGCGTGGCACGCCGATCGCGGCAAGTAACAAAATGTCGCCGAAGCACAGTCAGCGCCACGAGCGCGTGCAGAGACACGCCCTTTATCTTCCCGCTTAACCGATTTATCGGCGCGCCGGGCGCGTTTTCTCGCTAGTGTGGGCGGCCCTTACCGCTCCCTTGGCACTTCGGCGCGTTTTGACCACGCCGCGAGACCGGCGAAACTTGCTTTCGACGAGTTATGCCTTTTTCCTACTGCGCAGCGCTTTCGTAAAAATTCCTATGTGTTGTCGAAGGCAAGTGTCATCGTTTACACAACGTTATAAAAAACTTATTTGGCGAATGACGACGAACGAATAGAAACCGTGTCTTCAGCTCGCTGCCGCCAGCCTCTGCAACGCTCTAAAAAGGCGATTTTTCGACATGCAAGGTGGCCATCGGTGGCCGCACTCACCGAGTGGGGACGCGCGATCCAGCATTATTGTCATAGAGATCAGTGGCGCTCGCTTGTCAACTGACTTGATCCAGTCACGTTGGTAACGTCGTAACGTTGGTAGCAAGCACCACTGTGGCAAGCACAGCAAGCACTGCAAGGCTGCAAGTGGCTACAAGCTCGGTGTAAGCAGCTGTAGAGGCTGCAAGCGCTGCAAGTGCAAGACCAAGCAAACAAAAACAAAAAACAAACATGGCGTCAAGGTACTCGGACAAAGAGTGAAGTGGCAGCAAAAGCTTCTTTGGAAACAATCGTGGCCAAAAGAATCCGCATGTTTTGAGTGGCAAAACGCACGGAGCTGGTCAGGACCAATCGGTCGCCATGCTGGAGCTTGACGTGGTTCCCGAGAAATCGCTGGGCAATGACCAGTGGGAGCTGGTACTTGGTGAGTCTGACCTCAGCCTGCTTCATTTCCGTCCGTGAAATCCGCGCCCTGTCGGGAACAACTAGGTTGGAGAATGGCAAGAGCTTCGCTTTCGCTCGCATCTTGTCGATGTGGGCCTGCTCTTGCGTCGATCGTGCTTTTAGCCTAGAACACATTTAGGATCCGTCGACGTAGGACGCAAAACGCGTCTCGTTGGGCTACCTCTCGCTCGATCATCTACCCCGACACGTTCTTTGTTTGGAACGAGTCAGCGTGTTGTGTGGTGTGTCACCAGAAGGCGAGGTTCTCTTCGTCTCATCTCGTTCGATGCCTGTCGGTCTCGCGACCACTTAAAGACGCCTGTTGGGGCTGCTGCGTTAGCCACAACCAACGGCTCTGCTACAAGCAGGCGATGTCGTCTGTTTCCGACAGAGCGACAATGTTACACTTCTCTTCGCGCCAGTCGTCAAAACGTTACAGTGCTGCCGCGCAGCTGACGAGCAGTGGAAAAAAACAAATCCAGCTTATGCGACAGCGTGCAGGGAGCGCGATCGCCACTAGACCAGACCTAAGTTGTTGTCAAGAGAATCAGCTGATGGGAGAGTCCATTACGGCCACCAGGGTTATGGCGACCTCACGTGAACGTCGGGGGAGCGCAGTGGAAAAGGTTGCCTTGACGTTTCGTAATGGCGTTTGTCGTAACGCGTTCGCTTTGAACTGACGGTACTTTGCTGATCGGGGGCTAAATCCATGCCTGTTTACTCTCGACAAAAGAAGGGAAATGTTGCGTCACCGAGGGCAAGCTTTGCTCCCGCCGTTCCCCGGAACGAAGTAGGAGGTTTCAAGTTGACCAAACACTGCTTTGGCCGTCGTAGGTGCGGCTATTCGTATTCGTGGGCCGTTCCAGCATAGAGTTTGTGTTATCTCGCGCGATGCAACGCGTGCTGACATGCTGCGACAACTGGCCTGGCAGTTTGCAGATGGGTGGGTGAGCCCACGAGAGATCTGATGGGCCGCGGAGCAGTCCTTAGTCTCGAGAGTGCTTCTTTCTCCAGGGATGGCCTTCAGCCAGGTGGTCCACATCCTGCAGCAACAGTTCCGGGCCATCAAAGGAGTGCAGATTATTTATAACGAACTGGTGAGTAGCGTTGGGGTGGCGAGCAGCGTGGCCAGAGTGCCTCTCTCTCTGCAGAACCCGTTGGCCAGTGACCTGGTCATTGTGCTCTCGGAGGACGGCATCAAGCTCAGCTTTGACCCCACCTCTCAGCGCCTCAAGGTGAGCAGGGGCCCCCCCCAGGGTAAGGGGCTGTGCTCACCGCTGCCTTCTGCTGCCTTTCAGATCATTGAGGTGAACGACATGACCAAAGTTAAATTAACCTATTGGTACGTACGACTCTCTTGGACAGTGTTAGCTGTAATCGCACGTTGGGCCACGGGTGTATTTGTTTTGACATTCACGGGGTGTTCCACCAGCCACTGAGAAAACTTCTATGGTGCTATATTGCGCGCAATTTATTTCAGAAGCCCTAAGGGCCCAAGGGGCATTACATAGGGGGTGTTGCTGTAAAATCAGTCAAGAAATCTAACACAAAACAACAATTCCAAAAAAAAAAAAAAACTGTCAAAACACACTATGAACCATCATGGAACATATTCAGAAACAAAAAAGTCAGCTAAAAAAAGGATTACTTCGATTCATTCAATGATACAGAAAACAGACTCAAAACTACAAACTAGAAACTAAAATTAAAGACAGAATAACAAAAATAACAAAAAAAAAAAGGGGGATGGGGGCTACATTTCAGTTACAGCTCTGAGGACCAAGAGAACTGCAGCCTGGAAGGCACAAGATTCTGTTCAAGTGACTATGCATGCAGGTAGCAAATTTCAATAATTTATTGACAATACTAAGAGAGTTTTGACATCTCGCTGTATGTGCAAATACTGGTAAAACCTTTAGTGCATGTTCGGGAAGAGATGCAATGCGCTGGCTGAACATGAGAAGATGCGAACAATGAGTCAACATAGTAAAAAAAATGAAAGAATGATGAGCAAAGGAACTTTATTCGAATGTCAAGATTTAAAAGGTTCAGTGCAGACACGCTCTGGTGGCGAGTGTAGGACCTTAGGATGAATCTTGTAGCCTTATTCTATACCGACTCAAGACATTGAGTTAGATTAGCTTGATGTGGATGCCATATAAATAGGCCGTATACTTTCTAATGTTTATTTATGTAAAAAAATTGGCGGATGTTTTTCGGTGCTTATTTATTTCCGAAATACTGGTGCATTTCGGTGAATTGTCTTGTGCAGATGCTTAAAACAGCTTTTATTGACGGAAAAAATTGCGGATAGAATCAAACAGTCAAGTCGAGAAATGGTTAAACTTTTATTTACATCTGATACACAATGTTCTTTGCCCTTCAATATTGTAATAAATGCATGCATACATTCCAAGGGTTGCATCTGTCATTCCCGCCCGCTCCTTCCTGTTGACGACGTGCAATTTCAAGAATGCGCTTTCTACACTTGCACTAGACACGGGAAGTTCCAAAATGTCTAAAGAGGCTTGGGAGCGTTATGGCCAGTCTGGCGAATGCAGCTTTTGGATACGCTTCGACCCAATCAATATGAAAGACATTTCAAACCACCCAACTATACTCTGTGCCACTAGTTGTGTGCAGTACAGGTGAAGCAACACCAGGCGAGGGGAGAAAGGGCAAGCACTAGGAAGGCTGGGGAGGAGGAGAAAAACCTCCTTTCCTCTCTAATGTTCCTAGTTCTCTCCCTTTCTCCCCTTGCCCTTCATTGCCCCTTCCTTGTGCCCGCCCTTTCTCTCTTCACCTGGTGTTGCCTTTGCCTGCACTGTACATAACTAGTGACACGGAGTATATAGGGCCCACAAAGAAGGAGGGCAAGCTTCAGTAGGGCAATCTACAAAAGGGCACAATGAGGACAAATTTTTGAGTACATAAACTGAAGGTCAAATTAATCAGTACTGACAGAAAAAAATATATCTTGGTTACTAAGAGACCCTAAAAAATCTAAAACAATGACTGTAAAAAGGAAAAGAGAGTTTGACGAACACCTACATAGAACTTTTTCGGTGAAAAGAAAACTGCCGCTTGTATGAAATTATCAAAAAACCAACATTTTCCAGTTTTAGCCACTTAACGGTGTTTTTCGGTTAAAACCAGAAAGTATATGGCCTGCATATAACTGAAGCATACTCCAACGTTGTCCTGAATAAGCAGGTATATGCATGAAGTCTCATTTCTGCATTAGCAAGGTACAGATAACATTTAAGAAAACCTAGCTTTTCTGGTGCCTTTTTAGTCATGTAATCTATATGAGTGTTCCAACTCGAATCGGGAGTAGAAAAGAAACCTAGGTATTTAAAAAACGGAACGCGTTCAGCCGCGCTGTTACTTTTTTTATAAAATTTGGATGGGATGTTTGAAAGCGTAGAGAAGGTCTTATGTTTAGTCTTATCTTCGTTTATTTCCATTCGCCACTTATGGCACCACTTGGACAACTGGTCAGAACGGCCTGCAAAATGATAACGTCATCTTTATTAGTTATCTGCCTGTAAAGAACGCTGTTGTCAGCAAATAGTCATATTGATGAACCGGCGCACTATGGCCTGTGTTGCTGCTGCGCCAAAAAACTCCAAACTCATTCATATTAATGAATCTATGTTAGTCGCCATGTCGTTGATATATATTATAAAACAGCAAAGGGCCCCCACGGACCCTTTTGTGACTCCTGATTTTATGTGCTGGCTATTAGATATGCAGTGGTCAATGGAGACTGGTTGATAGCGGCTAGATAAGAATTCCTTAATCCACTGAGTGGTATTATGGTTGAGTTGAAAGTTGGACGCTTTATGAACCCTTTATTAACGAGATATACAAAAATTGCATAAAACATTTGTTTTTTATGATATTAATGTATCAAATTAAAGAAAAAATTAAAGAACGGAGCTGAAATTAAAATAAAAGGTTGTTGGTAAACTTGCAAGTTATAGCTTTGTTGCCTGTGGGTAACACCAGGCAAAAGCCCGAAGGGGACTCCCTTGCGTAACCTCTATGAATCACTATGAAATGTCAATACTATCTGCGCATACGATAGCCCCAAGTAAAACAGTCGCCTATCGTAAAATAGTAGTGGCAAGAGAAAAACACTTATTCATATTTTTCGCCGTTTCGCCATTCTCAGTTGCCGCCATATTTGCGCTCCAAACTTCTTTTTTTCTGGTCAACTACTTGCGTATCATTTCACTAGATAGCGCTGTAGTTTGGATCTTGAAGACTGTTGCCAGACTACTAGGTTAAAAAAGAAGATAAAAATAAAAATTCTTAAAAAGAAAAAAGTAATTTGTTGATTGTGGGCAACAATCGTCAACAAAGGGATAAGTAGACGTTTATGGGGCACACGATGCCGCCTCGGTGGCTTCGAGGCAAAGCGCCGGCCTACGGATCCCCAGGTGGTGGGTTCGAATTCCGGCCGAGGTGCCCGCAATCTGATGGAGTCTTATTGCGGAGAAGGCACCGTGTAACCGAGCCTTTGAATGCACGTCAAAAGATCCCCAGGTGGTCGATATTAATCCTCAGTTCTCCGCTGGGGCGTGCCAGATGCCCGTCGTTGGTTTGGCACGTAAAACCCCCCAAATTTGACTTTTGATGGGGCACGCAATCAAAGGCCTCCAAAAAGTTACCAAATAATACCAGGTAGCAGATGATTGTTTCTGCGGCCGAGTAGCTAAATACAACGGAGAAATTTGATTTTGGAATAACGCCCATGTGACTGAAGCACATGCACATAGGCGCCAATTTGAATTGTAAGTTCTGCTCCATGCTATTCTTGGAGAAGTCGGGCAGTCTAGAGTTTGCCGTACCGAAACTAGGGAGAAAAAAAAAGACGCCGAAAGCTGTGGACCCTAGGAGACAGCACTGTGCACTTTTTTTACAGCCACGTCAACCTTGGATAACGTTACACTGTCAGATCGGTTCTTGATGACTCGCTAGTCACTACCCGTGCCATCTGTTGAGGCTAACGTGACACTTGTGTCACTCTTTTTGCATCTAGTGTCGTCACTCGTTTTGCGTCTACCGTAGAATACCGTGCATCTGCCCATTCCACACTAAGCGCCCATTCCCAAATTTGTAAGATCTGAAAAAATATGCACAGTACATTGATACATAAAATTGATGATTGGACAAGCGCCCATCCCCCATTTTTTTTTCGGTTATCTCAAAATTTTGAGTGGGCGCTTTGCCCGGCATTTTGCGGTAGGTTCGGCATCTTGGTTTCCTCACGGCTTACATTTGACAGAGAAAGTGCAGAGAAGCATTTGTCTAAATTATAACAGCAATTGGGGCATACGGTATTTTGAATATGGGCAACACATTTCCAATTGGGATACGATAGCTAATGTGGATATATCAAACATTTGTTAGTTAATTCTCGGTCCTTCGTTCGCTCCTTGTGCATTGGTACCCCCACTTCTGGCACGGTGGACGGTGTTTTTCGGTGGGAATTGTTGTACTTCGAGCACCCTTTTTTCTCAGTGGTTGGTGACACACGCCATATTTTTGGTGCTGGGAGTGGACGCCCCGTGGGGGCGTACGTAGAGCGGAGCTAACATTGTCCGAGGCTAGAGAGATGCTGTGTGCGTGAGCCCAGCCCCTAAGATTGGCGTCTTCCCCCCCAGCGGAAGCCCCTTTTGCTCGCCGGAGATCCTTCCCACGAGGCAGCAGATCGACGACTCCTTCGGTGCCACCCACCCTGGCGGTGAGCGCTTCCCTCGCTCTGCTCCCAGGGGTGTGAGACGTGAGCGACGTGTCTTCCCCTCAGATTACGACGCTGCCCAGCAGATGTTCGTCCTCAACTTCCGTGGCCTCTCGTTCTCCTTCCAAGCAGACCCCAAGCTGCAGGTAAGCGTTCCTCCACGGTGTCGCCCTTCCGGTTTGGGCTCCCGGGGTCACTGCCGTTTGGGCCTTTGGAGTTCAAACTGCAGGCTTGGAACACCGGGCGGTTACCTCCCCCGGGGAAATTCTCGGCTGTCGCTCGTGGGTACCCTGTAATGGAAAGCCCAAAATATTTGCAAATACAGTGAGTGTCCAGGCAAGCTGGTGGATGTTCGATCATGTTGAAAAATTACCAGAGACTGTGGTTAAAGACGGGATACATGATGGGGAAAACAGCCCAGAAAAAGCGGACTACGAAGAAGAACAAACACGACAGGACAATGCTTTATTCACAAGTGAAGAATTTTAATGGAGGAAACAGAGGCAGAAAAAAAACACATACACAGTATCCTAAAAGATCTGCAAATCTTTTAAGACACTGTGTATGTTACCATCGAGTCTGGCAAACCGTTCCAATCCCATATTGTTTTAAGAAAAAGTGAGTTCATAAAAACATCAGTTTTACAGCGGAATTCCTTAACCTTATACATGTGATCCTTTTTCTGTCAATCCCAGGCCTACAATGAAATATGTTATTAAACAATGAGTTGAAGGCTCTTCCTCCTAAAGCTTAACTCTCTCCATCGCAGTCTCTCTTTTGTACGTGACATACTAAGTCGCCTGTCATAATTTTTTAATAGAAAACGGGCAGCCCAGTTTTGTACTTTTCCTAGCTTAGTTTTTCGAAAAGCAGTGTAAGGGTCCCCATATGGTACAAGCATATCCTAAAATTGAGCGAACATGCGAAAAATAGCTTTTCCTTCAGGGAAGGTGGCACAGACTTAAAATTATGAGAGAGGAAGCCAAGCTGTGTTGGGGCTTTAGAAACGGTATAATCAATGTGCTTATTCTGACTTAGGGTCAAAGTTAAGAATACCTCAAGATATTTGTATTAGTGAGTGACAATGATGGGTTCATCCAAAACGAAGAAATGAAGAAAAATAATTTTTCCCATTCAGAAAATGATGTTACGGACATGAAAATACAAATAAAACCCGAAAACGAAGAACCCTAAGTATATATTACAGTACATAAAATGATGTAATGCACACTTTGTCAGCATATATATTGTAAAATGTATTTCACAATATACCGTAGAATACTGCACATCCGCCCATTCCACATTAAGCGCCCATATCCAAATTTCTAAGATCTGAGAAAATATGCACAGTACATTTATATGTAAAAATGATGACCGGACAAGCGCCCATCCCCCATTTTTTCGTTATTCTCTCTATATTTTGAGTGGGCGCTTGCCCGGTATTTTTACGGTATATGCAAGCTAAAATTATACTTTCTAAATGTCATCAAACTTTTGGGACAAGCATTTTCAGTCAATTTTGTTTAGTTAAACATTTGTCAGCAATCACAACACCTGTTTTATTAACAAACATTGTTTACATTAGCACCAATATGTTGACAACAATCTTTCAAAAAGAAGTGATCAAAATTCATCACTCTAATATACGCGTGGCTTCACACTCATGTCGAAGCTGGCCTGAAACTGCGCATGACCAAGTAAACATTCTGTCCTACATGGCTAGATTTGGCCAGTCTAGCGAAGGTCCTTGACAAGATTCCAGTCAATTCACTTTGCAAGTAGGCAAAACTCTTGCTAGTTTGTGATTGTTTTTATATAGATCAAAGTAGTATATGACACACTACCCCACATAGCAGCTGCTTAGCGGCTTTCTTTCAGTCTGAGTGCGTGACCAAGAGATCGTCAAATTTCCACCACTTGTTTTTGTCGAGCCCACAGTCATGTCTCGCAGGCTTGTACAAAATGCTAAGAATAAGTAGCTAAGTTCCTGAGGTTGAAAAGTAAGCGTATAGAGTACTAAATACTCAAATCTGAAAAGTATCAGAGTCTCGAAAAAAGTCACGTTACTTTGAATATACTCTTTTTCTGGCCGGTCAGCTACGTCCTCTTGGCAGTGACAAAGCATTGGACAAAAACCTTTTCTTCACTCTTTGGGATTACTTTTTGCCCCAAGAAAGAAACACAGCAATCTTCTTTCCTCCCAAAAAAAGGCTACAATAACTTGCTAGTTACTTACGAACTGGGCACAAGTTACTTGCAAAAAGTATTTAAGTTAGAGTACTAAATACTAAACTTCAAAAGTATTTATAAAATGCTAGCGTATTTGCAAAAGTATTTAAGGTACGGCAACTTGGAGGAGAGTATTTAAGTTATACAAACGAGTCTCTCGGTGGTAGCTGGAAGGCTTAGCGTCAAAGTGCTTTTGGGACGTTTGCGTGTTGCAGTCGAGGATGGAGGAGGTGATGAACTCGTCGCTTCACTTCCCCAACGGGACGTCTCCTGTGGTCTCCAGGATGGCCATCTACTACGGCAACAGCCTCAAGGACACGAGGTGAGATCACCTGCCCCACGTGCCTCGTTGCATTTGGGGCCGGATATATCCGCGCCACTTGCCGTATAGTTGTGAAATGGCTGCTGGCGGCCCCCGTGCTTGACTGAGAGTGGACACGCCCTTCAGAACTGTGTCGGCTGTAACTAGGCTGCGGTTACGGATCACTTCAAGATAGGCGCGGTCAGCGACCCCCCTCAGGGCAAGCGAACATGAACATAGCCACAAGTTTGTCACTGAATGTCACTTCGAGCCGTCATCGGTTCAAATGGCTCCATTTCTTCCTGGGTAACAATTCTGCATTAGTGGGTACTGTGAGATATGCGCTCTACATGCGATATGCACTCTACTCTGTTTTCATAGTTGCGTGTTATGTCTTCGCAATTTCGTGCCCAACTGTTTGCCCTCGTGACGTTTTGCGGCAATTATCAGTTTCTTGAGCATAACCAGATTTTTTGGAAAGAGTACAGGGACACCTCGTAAGAGAAGAAAACTGCATACCAGAGTTTGCCACAGTCGAGCTCATGCTAAAGTATTCTTGTGCCGATTACATTTATGCATGGGCCTGGAATCATCATCGTTGTAGCAGTTAGGTATATATAGTATTTTAGAAATTTTTCGTTTTTCTAAATGTGAGAGTGCGTGACCATCGCCCAAGTCTTGTGATACAATTCAACCGAAAAACTGTGATTATCACTCGGGTGCTTGGCCCCCTGCACGACAGAATAGGTGCAACTTCCATAAGCATTATTCTAGGCTAATTATATGCTAAATTATAAAGAGCCTAAAACTCCTAATTAAAAAAACTCCCATAAAGGCGCCGATAAAAACTGATTTTCAGCTTGTCTCATTTTCAGAAAAGTGACGAATGATTTTCTTGTGACGTCTGTAACGTCTGGGAGTAAGTGAGCAATGTTGTCATGGAAGTCATTAAATGCCATAAAAAAAATGTGCCATCTTGTCATATGTCTGTACATGCAACTCGGCAGCTGTGACATCGTCGTCTTGGGTGTCGGCGCCGGGCATTTTCTTTTTCGATGACGATGTGGGCGGCCACATTGTCGTTTGCATTCTCTTGAGTGTCCCAAGCGGACCTTCCACTGTAAAATGAGCCAGAAGAATCGGCGCTTGCACGTAGAAAGCTCTAACTTTCACCGGATGTGCTCTGAGCAGGTCAGTCTTACCGTGCGAAATCTCAAGGTGTAGTGTTCTCTTTCTATAATAAATGAGAGCAAAAAACTTGCCAAAGTCCACGTTAGACCCATTCGCAGACGACAGAGTTAGCAACGCTATTAACTTGGGGGCACCATCTCCCAATAGGTGCAGCGAGCAGACGGCACACTCTGTTTTCTGCTCGCTGTCGGGAGGTGGTGCCACAAATTAAAGGAGTCCTGCAACAAAGTTCTAACACCTATTTTATTGTTTACACGTCAACCACGTTCTGGCCACCCCACGGAGAAACCAAAACATTATTTATAGGGGTGGTGCAACAATTTTAACTTGGAAAGATGTTGCAGTTTTTCCACTATCCACTTTTTGCCACTATCGGGCAAATATGGCGGTCGAATCCAGGTCGTGCCGTGCCATGTGCCAGCTCAACGCACAACGCTGGGGTACCAGCAAGCATTGGACTCAAAATTGGTTCCCCCGCGTTTTATCTTCCACCTTTCGAACCTCTGGAAGCGAACTTCCAGAGGCTTGACTTTCTTCGAGGAAAGGACTGCCCACTGTCCTTCCATGGTGCTGATGAACGTTGATAAACGCAGAATGTCTGGCTCACGCAGTTATATAGGTCGCGTGCAGAGCAACCTGGGTCACAAGGCAATACTACGGTTACGACACAGTCTCCGGTAGAACTGTTTTGTTACGCAAACCACCGGCAGCATGTAAACACGGAAGCCAGAAGAGACGAGCAGAAATCGCGAAAGGACCTGTTCCAGCCAGTTCAGTGTTTTCCCGCTAGGTGCCGTTCATTTTGCTGGAGTCGCGAATAGCGAAACTTTATTACACAAGCTGGAGAAAAGTGCGAAATTCGGGGAGGTACATCGCGGAACATGAGCTGTTTACGCAAATTCTACAAAATGGAACAGTCTTAGCATACGACCGCCTCAAAGTTTGTAATATAAACATATACCCTAATTAGAGTAATTAACAAGTTATTTGACGAGTTTTTGTTAATTAGTTTGATAATAGCTATGGTAATATTCCCACCCAATGTCTGTCGAGCCATATAAACATGCAGTGAAAACCCACATTCACACTTTTCTCCCCTTTATTTAAAAAAAATGGCGCAGTTAAAAAAAAACACCCCATAGAAAATTAGCCCCTTTCCCCATGTGCAGTCGTGGATGACTGTTTGAACATGTCACATTCTGCTCCAACAGTAAAAAAAAAAAAAGAAAGGGGGTTTCATATTTATTTTGAGTAACTTTTTGTTGCCTTATTTTGAATTTTCAATTTTATGATGCTATCCTGTACTTTACACATTATTGCATCTTCAAGACTTTATTCAAGATAGATAGTGGATTTGTGTATTTTATATGCCCATCATTGCACCTTGGTGTTTGGCTTGGTGGTTACGGAGTTCCTTTATTCTAATTTAAGCACAATCTTCATGAACAGTAACCTGCTGCCTGGCTTACATGAATGTGGTTCATTCCATAGTACAACATTTCAATGTTTATGAGAATCACAGTCCACGTGTGTTAAGTTACAGCCCAGCACATGCATGTTTGTTGCTTTGGAAGGTGAGCAAACTATGCGCCACTTGTACCAACACTGAAAAAGGCACCGACCGTAAGCGCTTTCCTGGAATGGTCTATAAACATAATTACCCAAGCACCAAGGAGAATATGCATGCTACAAACAAGTTACAAGTGTTGGCATCTCTAAGAGAAGCTTTTCTAAAGAAAATTAAAACAAATGGCACATTCATTCAGGTAAGGCAAGCGTGTGCGGCACCTGTACCCACATTCCAATCAGTCGCCATGGTGCTTGGGTAATTTGTCAAAAAATTTATTGCGTGACTCTTCGACTTTCCTATGCCAGCATAATTGCTTGCTTGTGATAGAAGGAGAACAGATGTATGCCAGCAATTCGCGAAACTAGCGAGCCTCGGCTTGAGTGTACCGAGCTGCACAAATGTTTTTCCACAAAATTACAATGGCTTTCGTCCTTCCCTTTTTTATTGTTTGGCACGTAGGCGAAGGTCATACTCTGTGCAAATAGAAATCATTATCAACTTCAGATAGTACCTATAGTACCTACGCCTGTTTGCTCGCTGTTAGACGCAAGAAAGGCTGGCACGGGCATACCCGATTGCCGTCCGTGCGCCTCGCTTCCCGCCTGTAACGTCCCGTTTGGATGGCGTGGAAAACTGGAAAAAAAACTTGGTAGAACAAAGTTTTGGTTTTGATAGCAAACCAGGTATCACTTTTTTAATAAACTAGAGCGAATCTCGGGGAAAGAGATAGCATTTCGGAATTGGGAAGCCATCTGCATTCAGATGATGCCTTTGGATAACTAGGTAGCTACAAAAAATCGCGGAGTTCCCGTTTAGAAAATTCTGAACATTTTATAAATTTTTTTTTTTTTTTAAGACGGAGCAGCTGGGGTTCACATCATGCCGATTGTGTCCCTTTCTTGGAGTTGAGTGTATTGAGGACAGTGATGTGATCTCAAGGGTGCTTGAGTTTCTTCCAAACTTGGTTGGATTTGTGGACCATTCAACAATCAAGTAGTAAGCCGACGTGTGCAAGCTATAACACTGTCGAGAAGGCACTATGTGATCAAATGCTGTCAGTGAAACTGGCCTTCATGCTGTTAATTGCCGAGGGACTGGAGTCATTCTTGGCTCAGTTTTAGACAGACGAGCCCATTTTTCCTCTTGTGTCTTACGGTTGTTGTCGGATAGAATCGCCGAGAAGGCAATAAGTCCTGTTGCTCCAAATAGCCGTCGAGTTTCGCGTCTTGGTTCCCGGGCTTCGGCGGCTAAAGTTTGTTGATTGACACAAATACTGCTTTCTTCCTGAAGCATCCCACAACAGTTGCCAGCACTGGAGAGCAGTCGGCAGGCTCGTTGTAAGGTCTGCCAAAGGCTTCTCTGTCCCAAGCTCCACTGTAAAACAACAATTGGTGCCTGCACACTTTCACCGGATGTGCACTGGGCACCGTATGAAGTCTCAAGGCGCAGTTCTCTTCCTGTCAAAAATGAGAGCAAAAACGTGCCAAAGTTCACGTTGGGCCTGTTGGCAGATGACCAAGTTAGCCCCTATAGTGAGCAGACAACAGAGTGCGTCGTCTGCTTGTGTCGGAAGACAGTGCCATAAGAACGTCACTGACTTGATCATCTGTCAACGGGCCTAACATGGACTTTGGCACGTTTCTCATTCTCCTCGAGATTTTACAATGTAGGACTGACCTGCTCAGTGCCCGTTTGGTGAAAGTTTGAGCTTTCTATGTGCAGGCGCCACTCTTTCCGGCTTGTTTTACAGCAGAAGGTTTGCTTGGGACATACTATATTTGGAGGAGACATGCTCTTTTGGTTTGTATCTCTTGACCATGCTTATGAAGTGGCAGTTGTGCCGTCGCAGTTACCCCTTTTTGATGTTATGTGTTGAGCCTCACCAATGTCTCTGTGGATTTGCCGCTTGCCGTCGAGAAGCGGAGCGGCGTTTGTGCCCGGAGGGCACTTGCAGCCGGGGCAGGAGCTCTGGACCTCCAGAGCTTTGCGTCTTTACAGGCCACCCCCGCTGCCGCTGTCCTGCTTCTACAACAGCACGTACCTGCAGTCCCTGGAGGTGCTTCGGGAGAATGCCACTACTGTCGGAGTCAAGCTGACTCTCCTCACGGAAGGTACTGCTCATTGTCCGGCTCTGATCCAATTCAAACTACAACTGATTTCTGTTTGAGTTACCGGAAATTCCTCTAAATATATGATGCGAGACAGAAATATGATTTTGTTATAGTATTAATAGCTGCACATACAAAGCAGATTTGGGACGCCTTCCTCTATGAGGATTAATCACGAGTGGGCACAGTCGCGCTTTGTACAAAGGCGCACTCGTCAGTCGCTCTGGCAGCGTCGTAAAATGGCGCCCACGTACCATAGCTGCCAATGCTGCCAATACTGAGTGGTCAGCTGCTGGGGATCTGTACAGTGCTTGGACCTTGTCTTTCAGCTTACGAGGTGTCCAGGCTGACTGGCCCCATCGAGAAGACCCTGGTGAAGACCATTCGATTTGGAGACACCGTTCAGGTGTGTGGTTTTGCTCGTCGTAAAATTACTGCAACCTCACCTGAAGGGATTGTAGGACTGGTGGTGTTGAATGCGTTGCATACGAAAGGAATCAAAAGGGATGTTTCGGAGCGTGCAGGGATCAGGCGTTACAACAAATATGCTTAGTAGAAACGGAACTTTTTGGACTTACTGCTGTGGAAAACGTGGGGTTGTGATGTGGAAGCAAAATAATAGGCTACTGGATGGGCCCTCAGTGTGTGGCATAGCTGAAGAATTCTGCTCAAGTTAGTCTGTCCCGGTTGAGGACCCCGTGCAGGAACTGCAAGTTGTATCTGCCAAGCACTGTTGACGGGAGGGCGAAGCGCTGCGGCCGCACTCACGCTACAAGAACTGGTTCGGTCGGCCAGTGGGCCTGGGGCTGGGGTTTCTGTGTTCTTGAATTGCGGCTGGATCGGGTTGGGCAAGTGGAAATGTGCCACTGCCAATCTCGGTCGTTGGGGACGTGCAAAACCTACGCACATTCATTTGGAATTTGTTGCTGCCTCGGGGCATGGGCCCCTTGGCTCGTTCTTGGGCGTTCTTTCAGGACGTGGTGTCGGCTCTGGGTTCACCAAGCAAGGTGTTCTACAAGGAGGAGGACAAGATGAAGATCCACGCACAGGACTCGTACAAGCTGCTCACTTCCCGGTCCTCGGACTACTTCTACAACTACTTCACACTTGGAATGGTGAGCACACCCAAGGCCCAGGGGTACTTACCTACATCGCCCAGTGGCCATTATTGGACGTTTCGTGATACAAAAACATTTCCCACATTTTTAAAGCACAAATATTTCCCAAAATTATATACACGAATATTGTAAAAGAGAAGTAACAAGAAGACACCACTCTGAAGAAAGTTAAAGATGTATGTTGAATCGGAAGTTCCTGCAACAACATATTCTGGTAGACAATTCCAGTCATGTATCAATCTTGAAAAAAAATATTTTCATTGGATGATCAACCCTTAATGAAATGTAGTCGGGGGTACGAAGATATCTATCCTCGTTAATTTGTGTAAGGTTTAAGAAAATGTTTATAAAAATCTTTATTCTAGGTTATTTCCTCCACGTAGCCAGCAGCTTCCAACCTAGCTGTTTTTTTTTCAATTGATCACACTTTATCTCAAGTTATAATTACTCATAAGAATACTCATTGAGGCTTGTGACAAGAGGCAGCGTCGTCCCAAGGGGATGGCACCCCGCCCATTCTGGGTAGGCCGTTGGTCCTCCACCCTCAGTGGCCAGTTTAAAGGATGTGAGTGCGTGCTAGCAGCTCTTTGTGTCCCACCATTGTAGCGCCTGTTTTGTCTCCCGCATTTTGACTCGATGACTGCGTTGCGTTTAGCCCAATCTCCAAGGCACGAGTCCTCAAACTGGGTTTCTAGGAACCATTCAAACAATAGATCTGGAGGCCCACCGTCTTGGCATGCATTTTCATTTCATTTCATTTCATTTCATTTATTGTTCCCTTAAAGCGCCCGTAGGGCTTTACATAAGGGGGGGCTTTGGCAGCAAACAAAAACAAACAAAGAAAGGAAAAAACAGGATTAAAGGTTGCTAAATATCGAGAAAAGTAGCAAGTGCAGCTCTGAATCCAGATGAGTCTTGAATTGTAACAATATGTTCTGGCAGAGAGTTCCATTCTGAAAGTGATAATTGCAGTGGAGAGAATTTAAAAAGGTTGGTCCTTGGTGTTACCAGATGAACTTTCTGAGAATGGTCTGTACGAGGAGAAATGTGATGAGCCGCTGGACAGTACAATTCTCTCTTTAAAGGGGCCAGATAATACAAAGCGTGCAATGAAACTAGTCTGGTCAGTTTCCTTCTTTCCGCGAGCAGTGGAAGGCCGAGTTCTTTTTTTAGCGTAGTAATGCTAGTGTGTGTATAGTTTTTAAGAATGAACCGAGTTGCCCTGCTTTGGATCGACTCTAATTTCTGAATTAGGTAAGCCTGGTGGGGGTTCCATGTTGTAGATGCATACTCGAGCTGCGGGCGAACAAGGGCAGTGTAAGCTACGAGTTTTGTCTCCCGGTTAGCCATATGTAGTGTTCGTCTCAAAAAACCGAGGCTTTGGTTTGCCTTTACAACGATCTGATTAATATGAGCTTCCCATGATAAGTTTGACGTGAAATGAACCCCGAGATATTTGTACGTGTGGACATGTTCAATGGGTGTATTAAAAAGAGAGTAGCTAAACACTGTGGCACTTCGCTTAGTGTTGAAGTTTAAGAATTTTGTTTTTAGGATGTTGATTTGCATTTGCCATTTTTTACACCATGTTTCTAGGGTAATCAGGTCATTTTGAAGTTGAATGCAATCACTAATGCAAGATATTTTCCTATACACCACACAATCATCAGCGTACAAACGGATGGTTGAAAGAATACTATCGGGTAAATCATTCACGTACAAAAGAAAGAGCAATGGACCCAGCACGGTCCCCTGCGGCACTCCCGATTTTACTTTCTGATGGGATGAAGATTTGTAATCATAACAAACACTTTGCGAGCGATTAAAAAGAAAATTCGATATCCAGTCTATCACGAATGGCTCCACTTGGAAAGCACGTAATTTTAGAACTAGTCGATGATGCGGCACCTTATCGAATGCTTTTTGGAAGTCAATAAAAATTGCATGCGTCTCAGTTTTAAAATGCAGGTTACTGTGTATATCAGTTACAAATTCAAAAAGTTGGGATTCGCAAGAGTGAGACCGACGGAAGCCGTGCTGGTTTACAAAAAGTAGGCTGTTGGCTGAGAGGTGATCCATGATATTTGAAAATAAAACATGTTCCATTAATTTACTCGGAACACTCGTCAGAGAGATGGGTCGATAGTTCGTGAATTCATTCTTTTGACCATTTTTAAAGACCGGGGTGACTTTTGCCCTTTTCCAATCAGCAGGTATTTGGCCACTAGTTAGGGATTGCTCAAAGATAGAACAGAGGATTGCGGAAGATTCACATTTGCTAAGCTTAAGTAGCTTCGTCGTGATATTGTCAGGACCGGGGGCAGAATTTGTTGGGAGATGTTCTATTAGTTTCTGAATTCCGCTCACAGACATAGTGATTGGGCACATTTGTGTGGCTATGTCGTAATTAGGCGAATGCTCTGGTAAGGGGAAAATATCTTCAGAAAACATCTCGCTAAAAAAACGACTGAATTCCTCGCACACTGCACCCACATCGAGCTCGTCTCCCGCAGGATTAGTGAATCGGTGAGGCTTCGACACTTGCTTAGGGTTAACCGCTTTCCAGAACTTTTTGGGGTTAGCTGTCATAAGGTTGCGGAGGTCTTCGTTGTAAAACTTGTTCTGCGCTCGACGTATCTCTGTCTTGCATACTAATTGGAATTCGTCATACTTTGTCCACGCAGAAGGGGACAAAGACAATTTAGCTGTTTGAAATAGTCTCCGCTTTTTATTCAGTAGTCGTTTAAGGCGGTTCGAAAACCAGGGTTTCTCAATAGAAGACTGTATATTTATTTTTGGAATAAACTGATCACATAGATCAAGTAGCTTTTGTTTGAATAATCTCCAGTTTTCGTGAACTGTCCTAGAGTCAAAGCCAACCATGTAAATACTTGAAAAAGATTGCAAGCTACGACAGAAGTCATCGACGTTAGCCCTGGAGTAATCATAAATAGCTTTTACCAGCGGACTGTGCTTTTGCGTAGGAAGAGCAAGTTCAACATTTAGGGAAGTGTGATCACTGAGCGGTTCCATAAAGTTTACCGAAGCTATAAAATCTGGCTCCGAAATGAAAAAAAGATCCAAGAAAGCAGAGTTACGAGTTGGCTTGTCAACCATTTGAAAAAGAAAGAAGGCGTTTATCACATCAACAAAATCCCGACTTTGCTTTGAAAGTTTATACCATGCATCAAAAGATATGACATTTGGAACAACCGGCCATTTTATTTCGGGGTAGTTAAAGTCACCGGAGAGAACTATGAGATCATTTGGATAAGAACGAGCAAGGGTCTCTAAGCAATCATAAAGTAATGGCGAGAAGTCTGACAAGTCAGGTGGCTTATAACATGCGATTACTAAAATACAAACAGTAGGCGTCCTAATCCTTACCCAAACACCTTCAAAACTTGATATTATATCACACTTTTCAACATGCAAAGTACTTCTAACAGCAATCAACACTCCCCCTCCCCGCCGCTCAATCCTATCTTTCCGGATGATAAAATACGAGTCACTTAGGATTAATTCGCTATCTGCAATATCCGGAGTTAGCCAAGTTTCACTGATGATAACAACGTCTGCAGAGCAGGAGTGGACAGCAGAATGCAGCGCTTCTTGTTTGGCATAAACGCTTCTAACATTGGCAATAAAAAAGTTTAGGGTTGATAATGGTCTTTTCTGTTGTTGGGGGGATGACTTTCTGGTTTCCTGTAGCTATGAGGGAAGCTGCATAACACGTGCGGTTTCCCGGTCAAAAATATATCGCAAATTTCCGATAATTAGTTTATCGTGGCGAAGCTTGAAGTCACGAGCTTGTGCTTTTGCAAAAGAAAGGAGCTCTTTTCGTGCTTTACGGGTCTCTTCCGAGTAATCCTCGCTCAAACGGAAATCTGTACCTTTTAGTCTGTTTGCTTGTGATAGCACGAGTTCTTTATCTTTAAAAGAATTAAATTTTACGATGATGGGTCTGGCTGTCGTGGAGTTATCTTTGAAAAACCCAATTCTGTGCGCCCGCTCGATCCAAGGGGGGAGTATCTTGACACCAAGATTTTCCTCGCAAAAGGAAACTATTTTTTCTTCAGACTGCTTCCAGGTCTCACCACGCGCATCAGGTAGGTTAAAGAAAAGCAAGTTGTTTCGTCGCGAGTGATCCTCAAGAGTGGTAAACCTTCGTGTCATTTCCGCTATCGCGGATGTGTTTGTTGCAGTGATTTTTGATACCGCAGCCACGTCTTCTTTGATTGTTTTAAGGCTCGAAATTTCGCGGTCGATGTCGTCGATTTTAGATTTGAGGGTTGCTAAAACAGAGTCAGTATGACGTTGCTTTTCTTGCATGGATTTAATTTCAGCTAGGATTTCCGTTTGGCCGTTGGATAACTTGCTTAGTAGCGTTATGATTTGATTTGGCGATGTGTCGTCACAAGGCTTGTTATCGGGCCCAGGGTTGGCCTCAATATCTCCGGACAAGAGAAGTTTTCTTCTCATGCTATCAGCAATTTGACACAGGTCTGACACAAAAGAAACAAGCCTGGAACGCGCTGAAAACACACAATCATACACACAAGGTGGGCACGACACCGCAATGATGCACACGTTATTGCATCGGTAGGATGATGATGAAAAACCAACCTGGGAATGGACAGGATGTTTAAGACACATTCCGGCGGCGGTGTCGTGCCCAAGGCACTCAGAGGGTTGTGCCCGCTTTTGAAGAAATGCTCCGAGTAGATAGGGTTGCCCGGCTTGCCCCAGTTGCCAGCATCGTGGAAGGGATCCAACTGAAGTTGACGATGGCGGACCGAAGGTTTGAAGGAGTGGCGGGGTTTCTCCGGTGCGATGGAAAACGGGATCCGGTGCCGACCAAATCGGCGAACCAAAAAGAAGAGCACAGGTAACAGCCACAGCAACCTGGGAATGGACAGGATGTTTAAGACACATTCCGGCGGCGGTGTCGTGCCCAAGGCACTCAGAGGGTTGTGCCCGCTTTTGAAGAAATGCTCCGAGTAGATAGGGTTGCCCGGCTTGCCCCAGTTGCCAGCATCGTGGAAGGGATCCAACTGAAGTTGACGATGGCGGACCGAAGGTTTGAAGGAGTGGCGGGGTTTCTCCGGTGCGATGGAAAACGGGATCCGGTGCCGACCAAATCGGCGAACCAAAAAGAAGAGCACAGGTAACAGCCACAGCAACCTGGGAATGGACAGGATGTTTAAGACACATTCCGGCGGCGGTGTCGTGCCCCAGTGTTGGCTGCTTTGGGACTACCGTAAAATACCGGGCAAGCGCCCACTCAAAATTTTGAGATAATCATGAAAAAATGGGGGATGGGCACTTGTCCGGTCATCAGTTCTACATATCAATGTACTGTGCATATTTTCTCAGATTTTACAAATTTGGGTATGGGCGCTTAATGTGGAATAGGCGGATGCACGGTATTTTACGGTAGGTCTCTGGAGATTACTAATGGCGGTTGGCATTAGTAATCTCGGTGGACCCCGATTGCCGGAAGGCTTTAATAAATGCAAATTAGTATCGGAATATTGATTACAAGCTCGTAACTTGGTAGTTTTTAGCTTTATTTGGCAGGACGACACCAGCTAGTGCATTGTGTATGCAGGGTGTTTATTTTCTTCGTGAGGCCAGAATTTCGAGAGGTAAAACAAGGGAACTAGCACTAGGGCTAAGTTGGTGGCCATGAAGGGCACTAGAAAAGAGGTGCGTTAGCTGTTAGAATTTTGACGTTTGGGGACATATTGCACTTTCAGAACCTTGAGCTCATTAGGCCTGTTAACACACTTCTCTCCTCTTACAACGAGAGAACACACTGGCATCACTTATCTGGTGGAACACTTGGCGGTCGATTTCCTTCTTGTTAGAGAACTTTTGGAAATGTTTCTCTTAGATGCTGCCAAACCTCAGGTCTAGTAAAATGCAGTTTCAGGGTCACTGCATAGATGGTGCCAGTGTGTAAGAGAGGTTCATACGGTTTAAACAAGTTGCAACTGTGTCAACTTGCAACCTTTATAGCCGGGCCATGGCATGAGATTTGGGAATTGGTAGTGAGCGCTATGAGGCGACAGATGTCATTCTTGTACCAAATCAAAACTCAGCCAGCGAAGAGCACCCGCGACGTCTGTCCCTCCGCCCTGCGCGCACCCGTGCACCTCGGGCGATGCCAGCGCGCTGGTCCATGTCGCGGATGTGCCTGGTTAGTTTTTGTCGAAACCGTGTACGTCGTGTCTAGACCATAAATGAAGTCAAGGTCAATTCCCTCGCCCCAAAAGAAGTTAATTAGTTAACTGACCAGGACTCTCACAAGCACACAACTATAGTATTACTCTTTCAAAGTGTTCCCCGTGCACATCCAGGGTGCCTTGCTCCAAAACAGCTACAGGCACATTCCTTGCTGCTACGATTGCTGGATCTGCTGGGCACATTTCGGGCACATCCGAGAAGAATTATGGTAACCATGAATCTGAATGTTGAGTGTGAATGCCAACTGATCGAGCACCGAGTTAGCTTTGCGTCGTGTGTGTGAACAGGAAGAGGCCAGGTCTTGTGCTGCAGAGTACTGATACAATGCCTCTGTCTAGAGTGTTGAGCTGTGAACCTGCTCGTGTCGTGTTCTTTTGGCGTTGACGTGGAGCCGATTTGTGCCCCGCAGGACGTGCTGCTGGATGCCAACAGGCACACGGTGAAGAAGTTTGTGCTGCACACCAACTATCCGGGCCATTACAACTTCAACATGTACTACCGGTGTCAGTTCAGCATTGCGCTGCGGGTGCCACCCACCCCGGAGCAGCGCAGGGCCACCCTGGTGGACGTGGCGGACAGCAGCGCCCGCCTGGTGACGGCTTTCACCAAGGTGCCTGTCCCGCTGGCCTCGCGTGCACGTGCTCCCCCTTGGGAGTACCTTGCGCCCTTCTCCCACTAATCTCGGTGCCTGAGCCGGCTCTTCAGAGACCGGTCCATAGGAGGCGGAGTTGGCTGTTCTAAGAATACAATGCAAAAGGCTGGAATAATACTTACCGTAAAATCCTCGGAGATAACTGCGTGAAACTGGGAGATGGGCGCTCCTTAGGTCAACAAGGTGTAAAGATACGTCCTTTGTGTATTTTCCAAAAGTTACAAAATCGAGGAGTGGGCACTTATTCTGGAATGGGCGGATGCTCGGTATGTGTGGTCGCTGTCAACCAAATAGGCGAGCGGTAGAAAGGTATGACTTAAAAAATTGTCTTTTTGAGAAAATCAACTGGAAATATCTAAAAATGGTGGTCTTTTCTTAAATTTGCGCAAAGATACAATTGCATAGTGGATATGAGAAATGCACCAGCAAACTACTTTCATCCGTAGCTAGGCGCAGATAAGTAACTGAGTTCTCGAAGAATTTGCCCTGAGCCGAGGAACCACCCCTAGTTCAGAATGGATGCAGTAAAGCAGAGCAGAGCCAGTAGACCTTGGAAATGAAATGGCACGTAACAGCAGGTGTTTGGTGATAGCTATGCATCAGTCAGTAGCTCAGACCCACTAAGAGAGAGACTGCAAAAATGGGTACTTGGGGACAGGGACGGTTGATTTGGAAGCCTGAGGGACCCAGCTTGACAACCTGTGTGCTGTTGGGGAGGGTGTTGAAGCGGCTAACTTTACAGCTATACCCAACAATAATGACTCGGCGTTCGGCTGACATAGCCGAACACTGCGTCGGTGTTTGGCTGGGGCTCTTTTGTTGCCACTCCGGCCTTGCTTGAACAATGCAGCGTGCGTGTGACCAGCACCTGCTCAGCACAGAGGCCCAAGTGGGTAAAGCTCTGGCTTTCAACAGAGATCCAGCTTGTCGCACCCTGCCATGGTCACTCCATTTATTGTCTACGGGTTTTATGCTAAATGGTGCCCCGCACTCCATCCAGGAAGATGTCGTAAAGAATAGACTTTATGGTCTTTTTGTCGACTTAACGCCAAGCTCTGGGGAAAACGGGCTGGGCAGACCGCCCTGATAGTTGATCTCCTCGCATATACAGTGCAATTCACTTATAGCAATACAAGCTATAACGATGTACTGCTTATAACGACCAGTTTCTAGAGTTCCAAGACTAGAAGCGCTCATCTTTCAGTCTAGATACAACGATAATCGGTTATTGGGCAGGAGATCGAACTATAGGGGGCGCTTTATCGAGGTTGTTGTCCCCACAGCCCGGTGTTTACTAACACAGCATAACAAAGAAATTGAACCTCGTCATGCACGGCCTGGACACGAGCGCTTCGCTCTGACCAATGCTGGCTTTCGAATCGTCATCTTCGATATCGCTGATCAAAAACAAACAAGACAATTCGGTTTGTTGCCCCCACAGCTGAAGCGTGCCGCTAGAGGCATGACTGTTCGATCTCCTCCCCAATAACGATAGAATTTTTGGGTTTTCTAATTATTGTTATAGGTGGATTGCACTGTAGCATCCAAAATTGGAAGCAGAGTTACTGGTGGTGGGGGGCTGGCAATTTCCTGTGAAAAACAACTTGAAGCATCTTGGTAGGCCTGCCAATAGTCGGCGATAGTTCCCGCTGGGTAGGAGGTAAAGGCTGGGTGGCTGAGAACGCCTCTAGTGAGCTGGTGCGTCTCGAGGGTGCGGCAGCCAAATGGACCCCCTAAAAGTCGTCCACCAAAAGATCAGTGGAGAGTAGAAAAGACAAGGAACATGCAACACTGTACTGTTCACCATGCCATCGTACCAACTCGCCCAGCTTACCACACTTCTGCACTATTGTGGACAACTTCCAGACCACTCTTTTTAAGGGAAGGCACCGCCTTTTTAAACCAGTCGCAAAATGTCCATGAAATTTGAAGGGTACATTCATCTTGCTGCCTAAATGCACTGTATGACATAAAATCTCCGTATGGCAATTTTCCGATAAGCTACGGGAGAGTTATACATGTATTGGTAAAAGTCGTCTCACTTGGCAAGGAAATCTATTGTATAAAATTACTGCCAAATATTGAGCATTTCTAAGCTTCAGCCGTAACTAGAACATGCGGGGGGTGTGGCTATCTATTTATACCCTGAAATCTCGGCTTTTTCTATACAAAATGACAATTTGAAGAGCATTCCACATAATGAGGCATTTTCTCCTCATCGAAAGCTTACTTTTTGGCAATGAGAACTTCATTTAAATAGAAAAAATTAATATATCTAGCCACGTTCCTCATTAAATTTCAGTTCAGAAACATTCACAGCGAAGAATAAATTTGGCAGTTCATTGAAATGATAGATTTCCTAAAACGAAAGTTGCTGCATAAAAGTGAAACTGAGAAAAACCTATTTGAAGTTTCCACAGCACTACTTTTGCTTTTACTGGTGGTGGTGGCAACTAAAAGGCACCAAGCGCCTAGATGGTGCCTTCTGCTTACACCCAATCTCCTGCATGACCTTGCTGAGGGAGTCCGAGCTTCAAACAATTTCTTCGAGTGTCCTTTTATTGTCAGCATGTGGACATTGATTGTGAAGCGAGCGAGGAATTGGATAGGCTTGCAATACACTATCCGGCGTCGGCAGTTGTGGGCGGGGCAAGCATCGTTGAAATATGAAGCAGACAAACCCACGTGACTTTCTATAAACAAGTGTTGGTTTTGGTTAGTTTTTTGTTCAATCCGGGTGGGCTTTTCGATTTTTGGCCATGTGCATAGCCTCTTTCATGGGAAAGCTGAACTTTTTGTGGTGTTCTTGCCCAAATAGTGTTTACTCTCAAACAAATATGTTTAATGTACTGAAACTGGGAAGAAATGGATTTCCAACGAGAGTATGATCATCATTCTTGGGCATACCAATGCGGAGCTACAGTTCTGAGAAAATAGGAAATATAAGTTTCACATTTCCAAAACATGATTTTGCATCTTCAGCTTACCGAAATTGTTTTATTTCTCCGTAAATATATAGGATATTCCAATAAAAAGTTGCAGGAGTGTGCACTATTGTTGAACCACAATGGAAAAAAATGAAAAGAAAAGTTTTTTTTTTTTAAATTGCAAATTTAAGGTAGTGTCCACCCTTAACAAATCGTGAAAAAATTATATAATGCGGGAATGAACAAAAATAAATTATTAAAAGAGCAATACAAAGTCCAAGAAAAACTGGCTTGCTCAGTTTTCTGTCTGGTTTTTTCTCCAACTCGGTTTTCTACTTCTGGGCGTACTTTTTCTTGATTGCGGCTGAAGAAGTGCAGATGTCACTATCCAAAACGTCATTGCTCATTCATAGATTAATCCAAAGGTGCATTTTGGATGCATTTATTTGTTTGTGCTTATTACTACCGGAAAATCACCGCCCATTTCCGAGTCTTCGCCCACCCACTTTTTGGGCGAAGATCGATTTCCAAAAAAACACTGAGCGATCGGCCACCTCTACAAATACCCCAGTGTGAACATTCATCCTACCCTAACGATGGGGCCGCAAGCCATACAGTTGGAGGATGTCTATGACAAAGTTAAACGAAGGAGAGAAAGACGCTTCGCTTTGTTTACGCATATCCTCCCTGATTTCCGCGACCCCAAAGTCGGAGTACATTCGTGTCAAAGGAAAGTGATGGGGTCATTTTTTTCATGTCTGGGGTATGTACGGAAAAACTAATTTGGATTAAAGTAAGCATCTGAACTCCCAGAAAATTATATTTTCAGTGAAAAAATTATTTTTATTTTTGCTGATATTGTGCTTTAAATTTCTGTAATTTGCATAAAACCTACCGCAAAGTACCGTGCATCCGCCCATTCCGAACTAAGCGCCCACCCCCAAAATTTGAAACATCTGAAAAAATATGCACAGTACATATATATGTAAAATTAATGACCTCACATGCACCTATCCCCCATTTTTTCACGATTATCTTTAAATTTTGAGTGGGTGCTTGCTCGGTATTTTTAGATATGGTAGCCAATACATTGTAAGAAAACAGTTGCATACCATACAAATTTAGGTGAGCGCACTATGTGGTAAGCAGGGCCACGGTGGGACGTGGGGCAGAGTGTGAGCCCGTTGCTCTTGCAGTGGGACGAAATCCAGGAGCGCCTGGTGAAGCCCTCGGAGCGCCCCGTGGTGCTCAACCGGACCTCCTCGACCAACACCACCAACCCGTTTGGGCCGACCTACTCGTACGGATACCAGGACATCATCTTTGAGGCAAGTCAAGGAAGACTGCCCTCGTCCCACTTCTGGGGCCGCCTGCCCGCAGGTGTCCCACACTTTGCATGCATGTGTATCACTACGCCATATTTTATGCACTAATCGCAGAGGGACGTTTAGAGCTCTCTCAGTTTTTTTTTACTTGCCCTGTGCCCTGTGGCCACGGCTGAACACAAAGAGTGGCACCGTTTTTTCCCCCACGGCGATAAACGTGGGGGGGCACGTTGAGTCGCACGACACCAACAAATTCTCTTAGTAGGAAGAAGAGAGTTCCCCAATTCCTCCGGCGTTGAGCGAGGTCTATAATCGGTGGCAGGTCAAGAACCCACTGGAAGCCCCTTCCACCTCTTTCCACTTTAGCCGAGCACTGGTGGAGAGGAGGCGACCTTCTCTCCAGCGTTCACTCTGCTGAAATGGAAACAGGTTCTGGTTCACTCTTAACCCGTCACCGACGGCCCAGCATATTTAGTCATAGACAGGGTTGCGTGTTTTCAATGTTTATTTTCTTTGGGATTCGGGGTGTTTCGTTGTCGGCCAAGGAAATTGTTGGCGCTCATGTGGAAGGAAACGGGACATGGGTGTGGAATGTCCCAGCCTCTAAGGAACTTGTAAAATGTTCTGGTGCCAGTAAAAGAAAGGAACGAGATCCCGAAGAAAGCTTGGTGGACAGTTTTCGAGTGCATCCGTGCTCCGGGTAACGAATTCATCGAGCTTTGATGGTTCCCGAACAGCTCCAAGTCGGGGGTTACTCTTCAGGGTTTATCTCGATGGAATACCCAAAACACGGAATCCTCGCAATGCTGTCGTTACAAGCTCAAGTCAAATAGATATTTATACAATGCTCACTGGAATGTATTCTACGGGTAGAAACACCACAAAAATTGAGGACAAAGTTGAAGGTTGGGGAGATGTATTCAACTTTGCTTTAACAATGTGCTTTAGATGTATCCCAATGACATTTTTTTATGCTTTGGCCGACGGTTCAGAGTCGCTCCGTAAGCTCTCGACCATTTCTGTTAAGACTAATTATGAACTGCTATTTTATCTCGATACAGTTGTTCTCGATTTCCGGTATTTGTATACGATATCACCTCTGACTGGGTGCCTCGCTACGCGAGAGTAGCTTTTATTGTGTGGTTCAAACTTTCTTATTTGTGGTAGGAAGAGACATTAATTATTATTAGGGGATTCCCAAGATGTAGACAATGATGTGGGCGATGCCCAGCTTGTTTCCAATTACCTTTTAGTATGTAAGCGGTTGGTAAGTCGAACCTAAACCAATGTGACTCGTGTTTGCGTGTGTGGTAGTCTCGGCGTGAGACAAGGCTCGGTGGGTGCAGGTGATGCGCAACAAGCACATAGCGTCGGTGACCCTGTACCAGGAGCCGGCCTGCCAGAGTGGCTCATGACTAGGGCACCCACACCTGGCACGCCTCTGGGACGACCGACGAGCACACTCTTGTCCGGAGCACGGCGGGCGGACCAGCGGCATGGACACCCGCTGCGTCTGACCACACTGCGTCCGACACTCCTCCGTGGGAGGGTCACCAAGGCGTTGTTTTTCTCGCAACGCCGCCAGTGGGAGCTGCCACTAATACTGGTGTGTGTCTCGATTCCACGGGCATTTGAAAGGAAAAATAAACTGTGGTTGCTCTTTTAGTTGCGAGGAACGGAGCTTGGAGTTAACTGCGACCCGCGCTTGGGGCTTCTCTAGAGCACTCTTAGCGAGACTTCTCTGCCAGAGACTGCCATCTTTGTTTCGAGCAGCCCCGCACGGTCCTCTCGTGGACATTTCCGCGTCTTTGAGGAGTTGGACAGCAGACGTTTCACCGACCCTGTCGATCTGCGCAATGGGCAATGGTAAGCGAGCTGGGTGCTTGCTTCATGGGGGGGTGTCGAAGAGGATTGCTTTACTTTGGTTGGAGGTTGTCGCTAAAATGTGGCGGGACTTGTCCACTGTGGCGACTGCTCTAAAGGACGTTAGTGTAAGTGCAGCCGAGCTTTGCACATTTGAGGGCAGCAGTTTCATTTCATTTCATTTATTATTCCCTCAGGGCCCGAAGGCAATGGGGTTGCAAGCTTGTTCTTGATGCCTCCTGGCTGGAGAGCCAAGTTGGTGTGTGTGTCGTTTCTAGCACGTTCTGCACTAGAAAATTGGCAGCTAGAGATGCATGCTGTGCCACATTAGAGGCTGGTCCACACATTTGATTGCAACTGCTTACGATGAGGGGAGACACCATCCCATCTGCGTTCTGAGAAGATCTACGGGAAGCTGGTCAAATAGAATTGTTCAGAGCCCACAGTGTGTTGCAGGGCTGCCTGACAAGTGTCCTCGTAAGCGGTACAGTCCATCACAACCGATTGCTAACGTTTTACTGCTGTCACTTGTTTGTGCACATATCGGGAACACTTTTCTATTCCATTCTATCCTCTCTGCCAGTCACTAGTTACTGAGAGACAAGCCATGTTGGTATGCTAGTGGAATTGTACAAAGAAAAACGCGGAGGGGATGCCCATGTAAATATCGGTCCTGAACTGTGCATCTGCCCGACCTTTCGGTGCTTGGTGTGCCTCCTTCGGGACGCGTTGAGGGGCGAAACAAAAACTTGCATACAGGCACTGTGACACGTGAATTCATCGATACTCCCGTAGAGTTGTCATTCTATTTCCATATGCCCAGTCATTTGCCGGTACCTGGTAAGGCAGAAGAGCAATGGGCCCTGGTTTGATGATGTGCTTTGTGTGAATAAGAGTTGTTTAGCAGTTTCTCCCGTCTCGATGCAAGCACTCCGAGTCCAAGAGAGCTTGCTGGGCGATGTCCGCCCGGGCACGATGGTGGCTTCAGCCCCCCCCCCCTCCGGAATCCAGCCGACCTTATAGTATACATTTTGGCCCCCCCCCCCCCCCCCCCCGATAAAAATTTCTGGCTATGCCACAGTGCCCGTGGCTCGTGCTGCCTGCAGCCCCTTCCGTCGGTATTGTTCATCGCCGTCTTGCTGTCATACTCGCCAATTCATCCGAGACAAATCTCGCCATTAATGAGAGGGAGTTTTAGTATGCAAACGACGATACGCTGCACATGCAAAGGCATCGGCAGAGCATTATCGCAATTAAAAATACTATCTACTAAAACTCCCTGTTCTTTTCAATGCAAAAGGGCACTGACAGCAAAGGAAACAAATGAGGAAGCTATTTTTTCAGATGCCAGCTGTCAGTCATCAAAGGTATTTTTGTACAGAATCCGAGCAGTTGTCGGGTACAATTAAATCTCATTGTCAAAGTATTTGTGTCATTTAAATTCCAGATCTGCCTGGCAGGTTGCTCTCTACATTGGCACTCTGAACCCTGCCGGTGTGCATTTTGCAGGCGAGTTTCCAGGTGCCGCACCAAGCGTCTTCACACACATAGCCCCTCCTCCCACTTGCCGAAAATTCCGTGTCTAAAAAAGACTTTGGACTTCTCGTCTTGGGGGTGGTGGGGAAGCCATTCTGTACCTCCGCAACCTTAGGGCTAACCTTTGGGCAGCGCAAGGGCTTGTACATAAGATGCTACAGAAATGGGGCACTTGTTCTCTCCCAAGGGGCAAGCTCTTTCCTCACTGAAAATGAGAGGACCAGCAGCCCTGCAGTCTCTCTACACTTCCATTTGTAAAGCAATTTGGAAGTACCGAACAAATCTAGGCATACTTTCTTCCGTGCGCATGTGTGAAGTTGAAATGTCACTAGAGAAAGTCTGCAAAAAAACACTTTGTGAGGCTTTTTGTATAGCAACGATGGTGTCAAGCAATTTGCGTAAATGAATGCTTGTATGGACCTGTACTACCCATGGTTTCCCTGAAATATAGGATTGTGCAAAATGTCAGCCCGTGTCTTTGGAATTTTTCTTTTTATTTGTACTTTGCGAGACCGGCAGGGGAGCTGTCCGGCCAGCCACTTCCAAAACGTTCTCGGCAATGTGGCACGCAAGCAGCTTGGCGGCGGTGAGTTCAACAGGCGGCGGGTAGGCGGATGGCGTTGATTCTGAGCACGGTGAAGGGGAAGCGGTAGAAGTAATGCCTCTGGAAGCGCGAGCGGCGCCGAAACACGAAATTGCGCACTTGCTGCGAGAGCGTCTTCTCGACGACGGTGGCGTCCACACGGACCCCGCTAAGGAGCGGCCTGCCCACGAGTGTGAAGTCCCTGGCGCCTACCAGCAGGACCTTCTCGAGGCGCAGGGAGTCGCCCACGTCCACGGGCATGTTGGCCTGTACGACGATCAAGTCCTCTGCGGTCACCTTGTACTGCTTGCCGTGGATGAAGACGACGGCGAAAAGCCTGCCGTGGCTGCCGCCGGCGACCTGCGCGTCCACCCGCCGCAACACCTCTCTGCTCGCGAGCTCCGAGGGCGCCGTGCCTTCAACCACGGTGCCGGCCAGGGGCACTGTCGCTGCCCCGTGTCTGGTGTGGAGCGACGACCACGGCGTGTGCGACGCTAGCATGCAAAGGGCGGCCGCGGTAGGCCGTCGGGCCCGTCCACTCGCAGGGCCGCCCTTCGACAGCTCGCACAGGCGAGAAAGCTGCGCACAGGCACGGAACCTTGCGAGCATCGTGATATTACCCAGGTATTTCGTTTCAGCCAAGTTTCAACTGCACTCTGAGCTGAACGGACACACCATGGGCTACACCGTGGGCAGGGAGATCATGAAGCCCTCGGCTACTTCCGTCCGGCCGCGTATATTTATGGCGTACGTCCGGTCCGGCGAACTTAACTTCTTCCGATTGCCGCGCTCCCAGCGGGTGTGGGCAGACGTTATTTTGTTTTAAATAAATATGATTAATATAATTTATAACGTTAAATAACAATGAAGTTGTTTTGAAGGTATAAATAGCTTTCAAGCTTGATATCGTAACTTTTCTTTCACTCTTTCAACGTTGGAGGGGGCACGTTGCAATATTGGTGAAGCCTAGTCATAAAAAGTTTAAACGATATTGTGCCCAGCGTGACCACAGATCTCTCTGGCGATTGGTGCGCGTGACATGTCACGTGCGAGATGGATGGTTGATTGTAGGAGGATTGCTTGCAGGCTTGCGCGCCATGGAGAATAGAAGGGTAGGAGAGGGCATGACGTCGGCCGCGTAGCCTCCACAAGCCATGCTCCCTTGACGCCTCGCCTCTTTCTCATTTTCCTCCTTACTCTCCTCACTTACCATGCCAACGTGACCAAATCACGTGGCCGTAGCTAGCATTCGTCTTACTATGGGGTACTAGAATACACCACAGCATAGCCTTCGATCTGATAAAACCTACCGGACGGAGCGCGCGCAAGCCTGCAAGGAGTCCTCCTACAATCAACCATCCATCTCACACGTGACATGTCACGCGCACCAATCGCCAGAGAGATCTGCGGTCACGCTGGGCACAAAATCGTTTAAACTTTTTATGACAAGGCTTCACCAATATAGCAACGTGCCCCCTCCTAGTACTTCTAACCTCCTTGTTGCGCGCGCTCCGTCCGAAAGGTTTTATCAGATCGAAGGCTAGCTACGGTCACGTGATGTGGTCATGTTGGGTTGATAAGTGAGGAGAGTAAGGGAGAAAAATCAGAAAGAGGTGAGGCTCAAGCATTTGCTTCAAGGTAGCATGGCTTGTGGAGGCTACGCGGCTGACGTCATGCCCTCTCCTACCTTTCCATGGCGCTCAGGGAAATGAAGCTCTCGGCTACTTCCGTCCGCTCGCGTGTATTTATGACGTACGCCCGGTTAGGCGAACTTCTTCCGATTGCCGCGCTCCCAGCGGGCGTGGGCGGACGTTATTTTGTTTTTAATAAATATGATTCGTATAATTTATACCGTTAAATAACGATGAAGTTGTTTTGAAGGCATGAATAGCTTTGAAGCTTGCTATCTTAACTTTCTTTTTCACTCTTTCAACAGCCACACCGTGGTCTGAGCGCGCTTTCTCTCTCCGAACTCGCGCCTCGAGATGCGCTCAGGGAAACGAAGCTCTCGGCTACTTCGTCCAATGGGAACGTGAACGCGCGAGAGATGCGACCTGTTTCGCTTCTGGGAGTATATCGCGCGCGAGATTCGTGCGCGCGCGGCTTTCTTTTATTTTTTCGTGGAAACGCGTTTTTGTAAGGTGGTCAAGCATAGATTTTTGTCATTACCACACCACCTGCTGTGCCGGGTGGGAAAGCAGTTACAGCCGAAAGATGGCCGAAAGCCGGGACACCAATGGTTTCGAGTTCCAATGAACGTGAGGTACGCTCTTTTGGTCTTCTTTACTTGCTTAAGTTTCTGATTAAATGTTTGCAACAGAACCTAACTGTCGCAGTGGTAGTGAGTATTGTTTGATTTTGGCTATAGCTGCGATGGTTTCAAGTCACAAAACCAAATCCTATCACTGTTCAGGATTCCCCTTGTTCACTCACCGCGAGAAATATGTTATTGTCAAATAACTGCAACTTCTATGTAATATCAAGATAAAGCACATTGCTCACTTCAAGAAATGGTAAACTTTTTTGCAGTGAGCTGTTTACTTGGGATTGTTGCAGGGGCAGATCCAAGAAGGGGGGACGCCCCCCCCCCCCCCCCCCCCTCCCCCCTTCTCGGAGGGCAATTTGACATGGGTGGACCCCCGTGTGTATCGGGCTTATCATGTACAACGCCTCGCATGACAAAGCACTAGTCATGCGCAGTGCGCCCGGCGCTATTTGATAAATATCGCCGACGTCCATTAAACTGTTCTTGTTGTTCTGCACACGATCCTGTCGACTGCCTCTTTATCGTCAATGATACATGGTGTCAAAATTGGCCGTGCGGGCCCAAGCGTAGTCGGACGACGCAGTGACGACGATGGATCTGCTCAAAACCCCGGAGCCCTTACAACTGTCGGGCAACCTCTTCGAAAACTGGAAGCGCTTCAAGCAGAAGGTCGAGCTGTTCCTGAAGGCTACGGCATCGAAAGAACGTCCAAGAAGTGAAGCTGCAAAAGCTGCAGTCCTGCTGAGCGTTGCCGGCGACGAAGCACTTGACGTCTTCAACAACTTCAAGTTTGAGGACGGGGAAGACCAGGACGACTACGCAACCCTCGTCAGGAAGTTTGAAGCATACTTCGCCGAGGTGAGCAATGAAGTGCATGAACGCTACGTATTTCGCTCAAAAGCGAAATACGTTCATGCACTTTACGAGGGAACCAACACCAGCCTGTCGAACCACTACCACCTCAACTCCATCAACATTGTGTCCTGGAGCCCCAATTGGTGTAGCTCCAACTGGCTGCTCAGCGGCGGGCAAGCGGGTATCGCCAGGGTGTCTTGGATCGGCATGCTGTTGAGCGAGAGCAAGAAACCCCCTAACGACGCTTCCTGAGTCACATAGTCTTCTAAATTTTATGATATTTAATGTCACAAATCAAAAGAAGTGAGGAGGTGAGGAGCAGGAGAGAAAAACGCCAAAATGAAAAAGGCGCGCGCGCGCGCATGGGAAATTGTTTTTTTCTTTCGTTGTGGTATTTTCTTGCGTGAATATGACTACAACTTGCATCGTTTTAGAAAAAAAAAAGACACCCACACAGATTTTTGGGGTGTTAGCGCCCCTTCAGCGTTTTCGCCCGTACCCTTTGCGTTTGCATACCCTGTGTCAGCGGGCAATCCAGAAATGCACTGGGTCGAGGGTGCGTCAGTTGCGCGCTGGTATGAGGTTATGCAAAAAAAAAGGTGAATAATAGAAAGACATTAAAGGGGGGATAGGGTGCAACGATTTCTGGACTTCAGTCCAAAATTTTGTGCGTGTTGCCCTCTGACACTTCTGAAGTAAAGAACAGAAAACCGATTTCGCCTGCGTCTTCTAGTTGTGTAAAAAAAAAAAAAAATGGCATTTCTGGCACGCCTCAGGGTCACACCTGGTCGCACTCCTAGTGACGTCAGTCGAGGTGCCGTGTAGCTTCCCGTGTGCTATCTCGGAGGACGCTTCCTCCCTCTCTCTGTTCACATTAGTGGGCGTTGTGCTGCTGCTTAGAGCCGAGCAAGACCACGTAAGCTTCTCGCCCTAGTTCCTTCGGCTGCCACTCGCGGCTGCAGGGGGCGGGGGGGGGGGGGGGGGGGGGGGAAGCTCGACTTTTGCTCTGCGAGTATTCAGTGGAATCGTGACATTTTTTAAAGGAGATTTTTTTTTTTTTTTTTTTTTTTGTATTCTCTGGGACTCGATGAACAACGTAAAAATGACGAGATGCAAATTCTTTTATTCTTAAAATTGTTGCCCCCCCCCCCTTTCCCCCACCTTTTCACCTTGCCTTTGTTATCATCATTCACTCCTGCCTGCGTGCAGAGAGACTTCATGATACGAAGCAACGAAAAGGCGCCTCTCGAGTAGTGTCGGGGCAGCGGTGATCGCAGGTGCTTGAAACGCTCTCGATAGTGCTTCCCGTCTGGAGCTTTGAAACGTCGCCTCTAGATGGCGCACATATCATAAAAAAGCTATATTTAATGGACCTTTTCCGAGAAGCATTCTGCGCACGCGCGAGCGCCCGATGCCAAGCGGCGAAAGTCGACACGAAAAATCGAGGAAATTCGGAAGGAGGCCGTGGATCAGCGAATAGAACACGTAATTGCAGCATATAAATAATTGTGTTACACACACAAAAAAAAAGAAAAAAAAAAAGAAAGTGGACGGAAAGAAAAACACGACGTTTGGGTCGTGTTTTTCTTTCCCCTCTTTATAGTCGCGTTGGGCACACGCCGCAGCCCAGAAAGCGAAGAAACTGGTAGCGTAGCTCCCATTATCGATTGGTAGCGCAGGTAGGTCACTTCCTCGATTTTTAGTTCGTGCAGCCACCGCCTGGTGCCGTCGGTATGTGGGAAAGGTCCATTGTCCGACGCGGTAGCAATGACCAGTAGTGCAATGCATTTCGCGGACATTTATTCGCACTGCAGAATTCCTAAGAAATGATTTGCAGATTGCTAGGAAGCGGTTGGCAGAAAGGCCCTAGGCAGCCCGGGAAGCCGTGTAGAAGCTGGATGCCCGGCCGGTGTCCTGGTCGTCCAGGATGGGTATGTCCTTGCTCTGGAACAGGTGGTCGTTCAGGTAGAAGAAGTCTCGGGCGCTGGAGCACGGCACGGCCTCGTCCGCGAAGGCGCACGTGAACGAGGCCTGGTTGAACATGGTCTGGTTGCCGCAGGCGAACGTGTACTGCGAGTACTTGGTCTGGCCGTCCTTGTCCTGTACGCCGCGGCACACGTGGAAGACCTTGCAGTCGTTGTCCACGTCGGCGAAGTAGCCGTCGCGCTCGCACTGGAAGCTCGTCTGCACCTGGCGGCCCAGCAGCAGTTCCACGCCGTTGGGGAGCTCGTACGCCTCGCGACGCACCTGGGCAGGGGGCGCGGCTCAGCAGATGACTTCACTGGCCCTGGTGGAAGCTCGCTCGAGCTTGCACGCCCTCAAATATACCATAGTTCCCTTTGTGTGCGAGCGAATCCTTAGCTAAGCTGGAGCACGTTGCCCCCGGATGATCCGCGCACGAATGCGCGTACTCGAGAGACGCTGCAAGCCCAGATCGCGCCTCCAGCTCGTTGCTCGCCCTCCCGCGGCGGAAAAGGGAAGCACTCTATAGTGATGGTCCCCCGGTTCTCCTGGGCAGGGGGCACGGCGGAACTGGTCGCGATCAGGGCTCGCGAACAGCCATTTCGGAACTAATGTGGCGATGCAGGCGAGTTGGTTAAGCATGTTGAAAGTAGTGAAAGCGCACAATAAAGACGAATACGAAGGCGGAGAGGCAAACAGCGCTCGTCCTGTTTGCCTCTCCGTCTTCGTATTCGTCTTTATTGTGCGCTTTCACTACTTTCAACAGCCATTTCGGACTGCAAATAACACTCTTCAACTGAGCCGATAGAGTGTTGCAGCCGGCATGTGACTCTACCTTGCTAGAGAGTTTTAGTATTGCGTATAGAAGGCAAACGCAAGTGTTGTACAAACGTTTGCGTTAGAGTTGCGTGCTCCACGCTGCACAAGCGCGTCGTTGCCATACGCCAATCCGAGACCGCAATTTCGGGCTCCGCGCACGCGCAATCGGGAACACAACGCTGACGCAAACACAAAGTGCTTGGATTCGCTCGTATACGCAATACGAAAACATGGCACTGTTTCACCGGTTTTCCAAAGCCAACGAAAGATACTGCAGTGAGCAGACCTGCACGCTGGTGAGCGCTCCTTCGACCGAGAAAGGCTGAGATTGGCAAAACGGCGGCGCGTAAAAATTAAAGAAAGGTTCTGGGTAGTTTTGCAATTAAACCAACAACGGAATAAGTTTTTTCGTATTTCGGGACATTTGACCCGGAAAGATTGGCGGCGAATTCGGAAGTTTCTCTGATTGACAAAAGTCGCGACTTAGACATGTGCTTTACCCACAATAATGTCATTTTACGTAAATTTCTCAGACTAGCTAGAATGTTTAGACTATTTTTATTTTATAACTTGTTAATTAAGAATGCTGCGATTGACACCAGTGATGATAATTTGCCCACTTTGGATTGCCATAGTTGTTCGCGCGTTTGAAATTAGATAATGAGCAAGAAATTATTTTAGAGCTTGAAAAACTATGTATTAAAAAGTATTAATTGAATTGATATTAATAGAAATTGCCGTAATATAGGCCCCAAAAAACGCCACAATCACAAAAACACACCATTTAACCATAATATTCTTCACAGAAAGGTCTCATTTTGATTTCTTTGTGGCATAAAAAACTCTGACATTGTCATCGAGCCACGCAAGCAACAAGTCGTTGCCCAGATCGCTCATAGGCTTGCTTCGCTTTCGAAATGTCAGAGAGGTCATCGCGTCAGCTACCAGCAGGAAAGGAAAAACACCAAAGAGAGGACACGGCTTTTCGCTATTTACTGGGGAAGTGGACGTCGGTCTGGCAGCCATACTTGCATTTACCTATAAGGTAGGTGGTTCAACAACGCTCTGGGTGGACCTGAGCAACGCGAGGTATTTGGTTTCACGTTTTTCAGGTTCGCAAGCGCGGGCAATTTTTTTGTGGAAGAAATCATGTGAGCTAATAGAGTAATTTCTGCTCACGCGGCGTCTTTGCTCCCGAGCGTAAAGAGAAGGCGTCTAGCGTCGTAGATTCATTACAGTCCCGTGAGCGGCATACCTGGTCCCATGCGGACGCCTACCAAGCTGGCAACGTGTTGGTTGGCAGCGGCATTCGAAGGCAGACTTGTACTTACACTACCCATTACGAGGGATCACATTACTTTTCGAGCAATGTTTCTTAAAAATTTTTATTACTTTTATTAGAAAGTAATTACGCGTGTAATATGATTTGGAAGTACACAAATTACTTGTAACCGTTACTATTTTTCCCTTTCTATGTTCGTTTCCAATCAAGGAATCCTCGAACCAAGTCTGCGACAGGAGCATGGTTTCTCAAAGATGGTGCTTTGGGAAGATCAGTAGTTCGCTGTTTCGAATGCAGTAATGGACAGTGCGAAAGACCCGTATTCGAAGCGTTTTGAAAATCTCAAGTAACCGGAGAGGTCACTTTCTTTTCGTCTCAAGTAATCTAATTGAATACCCTTTAAGCTCTAGTCGATTACATATTTTTTTTTTCGAGTATCACATCGAAAGGAAAAGATCTGAAGGCGCGATAGAGGGCACGAAGCCATCGGGCTCCGTGTTGTGTGTTGGAGAAGGCTGTACTCACCCTGGGGAGCGCGGCGACAAGGCTTAGAGCAGCTGCAAGAAAGAAGAGAGCCCCGAAATGAGGAGATTTCGCTTCGCCATAGCCGCCACGAACAGGAGCTGGCCTAGAGTGCCTCGCTACTCTTTTGCTCCTCACAGTGGAGCCATTTTAATCGGTTTCTTTTCAAAGTCGGCAGAATGCTGCGCGACACAGCTTAACGCGTGGTGTTGGATAAAGCATTGATGCAATTTTACGAGCCAAAGTTTCTTGGGAGCACCGTGACGCGCCGGCGGCAGTCGATGTGACAAGCGATGTCAGACAGACAGTTTTTGGCGATTGGTTGCACCAACTCTTTTTTTTTTTTTTAGGAAACTGATTTTGAGCGAAGCAGTTATTTTCCACCGTTCGAAAATGAAGAAAAATTTAGGAAATCTTGCGTAAGTAATAAACACTCGTCATATACTCTCAGAGCTACTCGATCACGTCGATTGAAATTTAAAATGTAAAGCGCTCTCCAAACTTATCTGGAACACGCGAACTGTGTCTTATCTCATGACAGCGCTATCCTGGCGGCGGCCGAAGAACTGCGGCATGACGTAGCACTAAATGGAATAGCCCAAGTAAGGGAGGCCGCTACCGTGGGCGTCGCAGCAATTTTACCGGCCGACAAACATATAGTTATCGTCAACTTTTCGCACGAAGATATATAGGAGAGGGACAAAAGAGCCAGTGACTGGATGATTCAATCAGTAATGTTTCTGTCGAATGGGGCAAAAAGTATAGATCGCCTTGCAGGCCTGTGTTGTACTCAGTCCAGCAGCGATCTCGGCCCTTCTCGGACTGTTCCACTAGCGCTACGTCATGAAGCAATTCTTCGGCTGCTGCCCGGATAACGCTCCCGTGAGATAAAGCGCCGTTAGCGTGCTTCGGACAAGTTTGCAGACATCGGCAGAAATTTGTGAAAGACGCTTCTAGTTTACGTATGCAGTATAGAGGTTTTTTGCGCGACACAGGGGGCAATTACAAGCGAGTAGACACGGACAAGCGCAAAAAACCTCTATACTGCATCATGAAGCAACTAGGCCAACAACAAGTTTTAATTAGTTTACATATCTGGCCCCACGTGGCGTATTCACCTTGAACTTTCATGCCGTGTGTAAATTCCTGCCAAAGCAAAATCTATGCCAAGTTAAAAAAAAAAAAAATGAAAAAAAAATTACGCACACAAGAAAAAACTGAAAAACCACAGTAACTTCAAAGATAAAAAAAGATAAGATAATGAGTGTCTCTCAGTCGCATCATACTGATAACTTTATCTTTCTCCTTTACCATTTCACGGTGATACTGCGATCAAAGGAAGAACACCGGAACTCCTAAACAATTTCGCAGAAATGATGGCACGCATTTCTATAGTTCTTCTAGTTGACTTGGAGTGCGATCTACTAAGGTACCTTGAGATATAACTGTGTTGTCAGTGAGTATAATCATAAACCATATGCTATTATTAGGGGTTGATTCCATATAAGACGTATCTAAGGATACCTTATGTACTATTCCAGGCACATAATATTTTACGCGTTGATCTATATCCACTTTCCGCCTGGTGCAATATTGTCACAAATGAAAAAGCAGATGAATTTAGAAAGAAAAATAAACATTTTGAGGTGAACTTGTACCTACAAACTTAAAAGAGAAAGGTGCCTCGCATCTTGCGTCGGCGACTGAAGGTGACTGACTCGAGGCAGCTGCATTACCGCTACTTTCATAAACGCGGCACGTTCAGGAATGTTCTGAACAAGAACACTCAATGGCAGCCGTGAACGGGCAGATACTTTTTAAAACACGATAAAAAGAAAAAAAAAAAAACGCACAAAAAGACGAGGACAGGGACCTAACACAAAATACAGAGAATCGCTATTTCTTCACTATGCTCAACTTGTACCAACTCGCCCACCTCATCACCTTACTACAGTTTATTTCATAGAGGAGTATAGAATTAATAAAATAAGGATCCAGGACGAGAGGGATTCGAACCCGTTCCTCTGCGTGCCAACTCCACCACGCACGCGGTTTTTTCTTCTTTTTTTTTTTCGGATTGGGATGATGGCACAAGGCAGTGACACACAATCGCAATGAAACACGAAAAGACACCAGCCATCTTGGCTAATGTCGAACATGCTACAAGTCTTTGAGGGTAGACAACACCTCAAGAAGTGAAAGCCACTCAGGTGTAGGTTGCTGGTCCCTATAGAATTCCTTCGTAAAGCACTTGTGCTCAACAAAATACTTTTGCACGGGAAGGACATCGATGTCCGCGTGGCGCACAGCCATGCGGCACGCCATATGCTGTGCAGGCCCAGCAGTAGGATTATATCGTAGGGAACATTTTCCCCTTTTACGCTCAACAACGTATGCCATGGGGCGTTAATGAGAACTCTTTTCCGAGAGTCCCTTGGAGGTCGTCCCAAAAGAATACCTCGTCCCAACAGTCTATGGAAAACGTGGCCAACAGTTTCCTGCTTTCTGCACAGTATGCAGTTGTCAGACCAAACTACTAGGACACCTTTTCCCACTAACCAGGCTTTAACTGAAAGTGTCTGACTATACATCTTGAAAAAAGAAAAAGAAAAAGATGTTTATAATTCTTTGTAATGCCGAATTAGAGCGCAGCTCTTGAGGAGGAGGAGGCTTGGGTACGGAAAGGAGGGTATGCCCCTCCACCTCCTTCGTAGATTCTCCTCCTCGCCTGCTGCCCTCCCATTTATCGGGAAATTTAGCGAAAAATTTCCCGCTAATTTCAGCGATAAATTTAGCGACATTTTTTCCGCTAAATTTAGGGGGAAATTTTATAGCTAAATTTAGCGGAGAAATTTAGCGAAAAATTTCCCGCTAAATTTAGCGGGAAACTGAATTGGTGTTGAGGTCACGTGACGTCAATTTCCCCGCTAAATTTAGCGCGGAAACTTAACCTGCTAAGTTTAGCGGAAATTTAGCGTAAAAATTTCCCCGCTAAATTAAGCGGAAACATTTCCCCGCCAAATTTAGCGGAAAAATTCACCCGCTGAATTTAGCGGAAAAATGTTTCCGCCAAATTTAGCGGAAAAGTTCCTGTAACGCAACGCGCGCGGTTACTTAAGGCCCGACCACACTACCGTGAACGACGCCGCCGGGCGGCGCCGCCGGGCGGCGCCGCCGGGCGGCGTCCCAACGCGAGGAGTCCACATTGGCCTCCGTTTTGCAGGCGTCACGTGACAGCACTGGTTCCCGCGATCGCGCCTCCCGTCGGATTTCCCGCTCTTTCGTCGTCTGCTCTTCGTTAGATTCTTCCGTTCCGCACTCGCTGTCTAGACGGTAAGAGTTCATAATGACCTGGTGATCAGCGTGAATGTAATTATCCTAACCTGCTCGTTGATCTTGCGACGTCGCCGCGCTCTGAAGGGAAGGAGGCGCAGGTTTTGGGTCCGGCCGGGTTGGTTCTACCGAAACACCGAAGGACAGGAGAGGTCTGGCGCGCCGCCGGGGCTTTGCTGCCCCGGCGGCGCGCCAGAGACGAAGGCTACTTTCGAAAGTGTCACCAAATCAACACGACATCCGTCACAACAGAGACGACATGCAACAAGTGCCACGGAGAAACTCACTTGTAATTCCGAATTGGTTAGTTTCAAGGAACCGCTCCGTTGGGGAAGGCATCGGGGGGAAATAGGGGGAGCAGACGACACCAAACACGTCCTTCGCTTCGAGAGGCGCCGAGGACCGGCTTGAGCGTTGCCATGGCATCGCGACGTCACTATCTACGCCACCTCCCATTGGCTCCTCTCTTCTGCGGCGTGCGGCGTCAAGCTCTGAACCGCGCACGGAGCGGTTGGGTGTGCGGCGCCGCACGTCGTGACGTTGAAGCCGAAAACTGGTTTCCGCCGGCAACCGGCAGCGACGACCGTCGCGCCGCAGGCCTCCGAAACGCCAATGTGGTCGCGCCTTTACACCGACGCCAACGGTGACGCCGCTCAACCTGAAATGGGCGGCTAAGAGCTGCGCTCTTAAAAACTTTCAGCCTTTCCACTCTCGTGAAGAAGAAAGACCAGCGAAGCTGTACTATGGTGGAAATGAAGTAGTTATAAATGTAAGGATTAAGGTGTGATTGGGTAATTGGTTATGTGACAACCGTAGTGTCCCCGGTTGTCTTTGTTATACCACGTCAACCGCCGAAGGCTCATGAACGGGAGTCGAGGCGCCACTGTTCCTCCACCACGTTCAACTTCGGTAGGTGCTCCGGCGTGGGTGGGTACTTGTATCCATTCACGGTCACGAACCGGGGCACCGCGCCTTTGAGCAGGGAATCTTGACACGTTCTGCACGCCGGTTCTTCGAAGACGTCCGCCGACTCGATACACTGCCGCAATGCGCACTGCCGCAATGTGCCCGTTTCCCGCTGCTTCTCGTCCGACACGCCGCCGATCGTGAATACGTCTCCGGCGAACCAGTCTGTCGCACACGGCGTACGTGACGCCAAATGGGTTCTCCACGAACTCCATCCGGAACCTCGCCATCGCACCCGGGAACTGTTCAGCCGGCGTGGAGTGCAGTCGTCGCCGGGCCTCGCGCTTGCGCTTGGCCTCCGTGGCACGATCGTCACCCTTGACGTTGGCCCGCTGGCGCCATTTACATCGCTGGTTCTGTTCTCGGCAGCGGCTTTCCAGGCGAGCGATGTGCTCTTCTTTCGCAAGGGAGTCTGAAGCGGTGGACGCAGTGGAAGTCGAGGCGACAGCGGCTTCGCATCGGTTGCGGACCCATTCGCGCTGCTGTGTACGTCGTCGCTCCTTCCGCACCCAGTCTTCTTTCCCCGAAAGGGCACGCGGCCGACCCGTCCTGTGTCCAAACCGAAACTGACAAGAGCGTAGGAAACAGCGCGCACAACAGACGAGGACGAAGCAACACACGTGACAGCGCTGCGCTCGTTACGTGTGTTTCTTCTTCGTCCTTGTCTGCTTTTCGCGCTGTTTCCTACGATGAATTCCCACCAACGCGCCCAACTATTCATTCTTCTATGATAACT